AAAATATTCACGTTTACAGCTTCTCACTATATTTATGAGTTTGTTTTTATATCTTTTGTACTTTTGTTCTGCTTCTGTCGTTCTGTTTTTTATAAATTCTCTGTAAAGTGTGTTTTTTTTATTGCATGCATTTTGTAGACCTTTGGTCATCCACGGTTTTTCTTTATACTTATTCCTCTGAATATTTTTGATAACTGGACAGTTTCTGTCAAATTGACTTTTAAATATATTTAAAAAGGTATCATATGCTTGGTCTACTTCATTTTTTCATAAACAATATTCCAATCTTGTTCTAATAGATCATTTTTAAGACTATTTAACCTCTGTTCTGTTTTCATTCTTTTATACATATAGTTAGTTCCTTCTGTTTCATTTTTATAATGACAGTCATAAGAAGCAAAAACCAGTAGATGGTCACTGATATCGCTTATTAATAACCCACTTTCCACCTTTTCTTCCATTATATTAGTGAATATATTATCTATTAAAGTAGTGCAGTGTAATGTTATTCTAGTCGGTCTGGTTATCAATGGAAATAAACCTAGACTGTACATTATATCAATAAATTCCTCTGTACTTTTGTTTTTATTTGGATTTAGCAAGTCTATATTGAAATCTCCACAAATAAACACTCCCTTCTGGTACAAATTTGTAAACATCTCCTCCATTTTATTCTTAACTACTTCAAGGTTCATTCATTATTTTTCAAGTTGGAGAAAGCTGAAAACTTCAGTCGCTTGGTTTCTCAAGCTAAAGGCCATCTTGCTGGATCTTAGTCAAAAAAGGAAAGAATTTGAGGCTTCACTCCCTGCTGCCGATGTATCGACTTTCACTAAGAAAGCACAAGAAAACACGAAAAGAGCCAGAGAAGCTGTTTGCACACAAACATTGTCAGTGAACGATCTCTTCAAAGCTGAAAGTGCAATTATCTGGTACTGTCAATCAAAAAGATTCAAAGAAGAAATCAGCACCTTGGAGAGTGGCGCTTCTGTTGTGAAGACCAGGAGCAACATCTACAAACTAGATCCAATACTCAAGAATGGTTTACTGAGAGTCGGTGGAAGACTTCGCCGCTCAGCTATACCTCAGGAGCAGAAACATCCCGCTATTTTCACCAAAGACCAACATGTTTCCAAGCTTATTTTGCAGCATATACACCAGCAGCTTGGGCATGCAGGAAGAAACCACATGCTATCAGCTCTTAGAAAAAGGTACTGGATTACTAGTGCCAACTCAGCTTGCAGGAAGATCATCTCTGAATGTGTTATTTGTAAACGACAAAGAGCACAGCCATCTTGGCAGAAAATGTCTGATATGCCAGAAGAACGCATCAGTCCAGATTTGCCACCATTCACTAATGTAGGTGTGGATTATTTTGGGCCCATAGAGGTGAAAAGAGGACGTGCCATAGTCAAAAGATATGGAGTAATCTTTACCTGCATGGCAAGCCGGGCTATACATCTGGAGGTGGCACACTCACTAACGACCGATTCTTGCATCAATGCCATAAGACGTTTTATATGTCGAAGAGGTCCAGTTAGTCAAATGAGATCAGACAATGGCACAAATTTTATTGGTGCAGAACGTGAACTGAGAGAGGCGTTGGCATCAGTGGAACAGAACAAGATTCATCAATTTCTGCTTACGAAAGAGATTGACTGGACATTTAATCCCCCTGCTGCATCCCATCATGGAGGAGTTTGGGAGCGTCTTATTAGAATGGTTCGAAAGGTATTATTTTCTGTCCTTCAACAGCAGTCACTGGATGATGAAAATCTACAAACCTTCTTGTGTGAAGTGGAAGCCATTCTAAATGATCGCCCCATAACTAAAGTCTCTGATGAGGCAAATGATCTGGAAGCTCTTACGCCAAATCACATTCTGCTGCTCAAAGGGAGCCCTATTCTAGCTCCTGGTGTATTTGAAGAGAGAGACTGCTACATCAGAAAACGCTGGAAGCAGGTTCAGTATCTGGCAGACTTGTTTTGGAAAAGGTGGACAAGAGAGTACTTACCTTTGCTACAAGAAAGACAAAAATGGTCTAAGCCTCAAAGGAACTTCACAGTGGGAGACGTCATCGTGGTGATGGATCATACTGCGCCTCGTGGATCTTGGATTCTTGGAAGAATAATCAGCACTTATCCTGACAAAAATGGACTTGTTAGAGCAGTTCAGCTGAAAACGAAGACCGGGCAGCTGGAGAGGCCCATCTTGAAGATCTGCCTTCTTCAAGCAGCTGTATAAGATGGAGAGAAGATACTACATGGGACATTTTTTGGCTCCTTATTTTGTTATTATTTAATTGTGCTGTTTACACAATTGGGGCCGGTGTGTAGGAGCCATTATTGTTTTGGTTTAGATTAGATTATGATCTAAGTTTATTTTGATAATGTTTTATGTACATTTCAGTTTATTGCACTATGGTTTGTATTTCCTTTGACCACTGGTGGCACTGCGGAGCCTATAAAGGTGTTGAGGTGGCAGTGCATTGGCGTTTTGTGGGTGACGGGAGGTCACACGGTTTTTACCGCTTCATTTGGTTTCATATGCCACATCTAATTTGCCGTTATAACTTTCATCATTTACATAAACCTGGACAAGAAATAGCCATTCTGGACCCAGCTTGTGATTGTCAACATATTCAATAAATGGGACAATAAACCCAAACCCGCTTTCTGCCTGGACAATATTGTTGAAGCGAGTCATTGCCTCCACCCGCACCCGAGGGTGACTAAAAGTGGGACTTGATAGTCACTACAACTTTTTTGTCTTACTCAAATGTTGGGTAAAGAAGGCTAGAGGCTAACGTTGAGCTAACGTTGAGCTAACAATGCTATTGGTGATTTAGAAACAAATAGTTGGCTCTAAAAACACCTCAATGTACTTTTTACATTACCAGCAACTTGATATTACAGTTAAATGTATGTGTGAAGTGAATGCTGAGTCAAACGTGGCAACAGCAAACAGCCTTGAGTCTCACTGAATGAGAGTGGGAGTAACTTTTTGTTCATGAAAATGGACTTCAGTATCCAAATTTGACCACATGACGTAATTCTTCCATCGTTCTTATTGAACTTTTGAGAGAGCTCGTTCAATGAGAAACTGGAAAGTCATCTGGAAACCTGTAAAGTTTGACGCTGCTGTCTTTATTTCATTCATTTGTGCAGCCTACAACGCTGCGGGTATTAACCATACTAACAGTGGGGACGTGCCGTCTTTTTGCCGTTCAGTCAGGGACGGGGACTTGGGCGCATGACATCACACGTCAAGAGGTCCATTTTGGAAATTAAAACAAAAGGTGTAGCGTCCAGGAATGGTCAGTTTTCATCTACAGTTTGGCCTTTCAGTGACTGGTCATCTACAGACATGAATCTGCTTCTCTGCGTCTCTTAATCTTCCAAGCTGCAGGAAAGATTCGCCACTGCGTGTTTACCCTTTTGATTGTCAACATCATGTTCCCTCCTCAAGGTTCCTCTCTGCCAAGCTGTGGCCTTATCTATCCGCTTGCTTCACAGGACAAAAGAAGAACTTTTACAACTCATAAGTTAAATAAATAATAATATGGTTGAATGAACAAATGTTATATGAATACTAATGAAATGTGTTGATTAATCTGTGCTTAAATTACTGTGGTTGAAATGAATATTATTATGGTATGATCAGTAATTTTAGATTTAACAAGTGAATCACTATCTTCTGACAGCTCACACATTCGGACACGTGACGATGACAAGGTTAAGCTAATATCATGACACATTGCTTTCTGTTCCACCAGTCACCAATCCTGTATCTGACGTGAGGCGTGTGTTCTGAGGTTTGTTGCTAAAAATCCTTTTTACATGTCAAATTCTGATTTGTTAGAAAATAAAAATATGACCATCATTAAAACAGAGCTCACCTCACCTTGAATCAGTTCTAGTTCTCTTGAGTTCTTGAGAAAGCTTCTGACCGGCCATCTGAAGCAAAACCTCTTAAACCTAGAGCACCTTTCGACAAGCTAAAAGCTGCCTGCAGTGACACAGCAACTTGTTCCTTCAGCTATTCAGAAACAGCTGCTCTAGACGCAAACTAGTTCCAACCTGTGTGCCTGGCGACATCTCTGGACTGGAGTGTCGGTGCTGCAGTTAATCTACTGAACCTCGGTGCCCAGAGGTCATCCGACCTCCCTGACCTCCGGATCCGCAAAGAGGGTCTCTGAAAAGTGAGGTAGACACAGCAAGATTGCGTCTGATGCTGTTTTGATAAGAACCAACTTCATAGTTTAATGCAGACCAAATTCTTTTCATGCCCAGAACTCAGTTTCTTCTAGATATGAGGTTCTGATAAACACACACCATTTAATCATCACCACACCTCACACTCCATCCACCTAGATTCATTCATCATATAAAGTGTCCTAGTTGTCATGTTTTTAATTGTTTAGAAAATAAATTTCTTACCTTTTATAAATCTGACTGTCTGAATTGATACGAAGTGTGTTTGATCCCTGAAAAGCAAAGAATCCTAGAATCTTCTGATTAAACATTCAAAGACCAATCAGAGTGATACTCTATATTTATGTAGAATATCCCAGCTTATTGGTCATAAGTAAAGGTAATATATTATGCTTAATAGCAACGATATACAACCCTACACATTTGTCTAAAAACCTCCACCAGTAACACGTTTCAGACCGAAAGCAACCATTGGACCCTCCTTTGTTGGTCTCGCCACACTTCTGTACGTTTCTGGGTCCTCCACTCAGCCGGCTGTAATCACTTCATCTTTAGGACAAACTTCCAGAGTCCCAAAAAGAAACACACCATTTGAAGTCATGGAAAACAAAAGATGTTTGGAGCTAGAAAATGTTGACTGGTGTTTAGCGCTATCTTGTTTCCTCTGGCGACGCAGGTTTCCGGTTCTGGCAAAGTGTCTCAGAAAAGATACCTCAGTGTAAGGGTGAGTGTTACAGATTTGTTATAACAGCTTTAAGCCTTTTGTTTGTTGTTTGTGTCCATCAGTGAGACCAATCCAGTCCACCGCCACCAGTCCTGCTATCTCTATCCATGAACTGGGGCACACTGGGGCCACCAAGACAGAACGCACAGGAATACACAGGTTAAAGAGTGAGATCAAACAGGTGGGATCTATCTATCATCTATCTATCTATCTATCTATCTATCTATCTATCTATCTATCTATCTATCTATCTATCTATCTATCTATCTATCTATCTATCTATCTATCTATCTATCTATCTATCTATCTATCTATCTATCTATCTATCTATCTATCTATCTATCTATCTATCTATCTATCTATCTATCTATCTATCTATCTATCTATCTATCTATCTATCTATCTATCTATCTATCTATCTATCTATCTATCTATCTATCTATCTATCTATCTATCTATCTATCTATCTATCTATCTATCTATCTATCTATCTATCTATCTATCTATCTATCTATCTATCTATCTATCTATCTACCTACCTACCTACCTACCTACCTACCTACCTACCTACCTACCTACCTACCTACCTACCTACCTACCTACCTACCTACCTACCTACCTACCTACCTACCTACCTACCTACCTACCTACCTACCTACCTACCTACCTACCTACCTACCTACCTACCTACCTACCTACCTACCTACCTACCTACCTACCTACCTACCTACCTACCTACCTACCTACCTACCTACCTACCTACCTACCTACCTACCTACCTACCTACCTACCTACCTACCTACCTACCTACCTACCTACCTACCTACCTACCTACCTACCTACCTACCTACCTACCTACCTACCTACCTACCTACCTACCTACCTACCTACCTACCTACCTACCTACCTACCTACCTACCTACCTACCTACCTACCTACCTACCTACCTACCTACCTACCTACCTACCTACCTACCTACCTACCTACCTACCTACCTACCTACCTACCTACCTACCTACCTACCTACCTACCTACCTACCTACCTACCTACCTACCTACCTACCTACCTACCTACCTACCTACCTACCTACCTACCTACCTACCTACCTACCTACCTACCTACCTACCTACCTACCTACCTACCTACCTACCTACCTACCTACCTACCTACCTACCTACCTACCTACCTACCTACCTACCTACCTACCTACCTACCTACCTACCTACCTACCTACCTACCTACCTACCTACCTACCTACCTACCTACCTACCTACCTACCTACCTACCTACCTACCTACCTACCTACCTACCTACCTACCTACCTACCTACCTACCTACCTACCTACCTACCTACCTACCTACCTACCTACCTACCTACCTACCTACCTACCTACCTACCTACCTACCTACCTACCTACCTACCTACCTACCTACCTACCTACCTACCTACCTACCTACCTACCTACCTACCTACCTACCTACCTACCTACCTACCTACCTACCTACCTACCTACCTACCTACCTACCTACCTACCTACCTACCTACCTACCTACCTACCTACCTACCTACCTACCTACCTACCTACCTACCTACCTACCTACCTACCTACCTACCTACCTACCTACCTACCTACCCACCCACCCACCTTGTACCTACCTACCTACCCACCTACCCACCCACCCACCTTGTACCTACCTACCTACCCACCCACCCACCTTGACATTGTTTTTCTGTTCAATTGCAGCTGGATGGCTCTCGACCTGGCAGTGTGGGTTGGCTTTGATCATATTTAGCATGCGACTGTTTCTAACTTGGATCTAAACAATCAAACTCCCATCTGCTGTTAACATGTCATGTACTGCAGCGCCCTCCTCTATAGCTGGGGGGACTCTCTTCATCACATTATCAAGACAACACGTTTAGCAACTATTCCATGTCTCACTTCATTGATTACATTCATTCTTTTTTTCCAAAGGAGCATTACAAATGAAATAACTTGTCTGCAAACTTACCAGCTCTTTAACCAACCCAGACCTTGATTCACCTGCTTTGTTGTAGCAGCGTTCATGTACAGAGGCTCTTGCTGTTCACCAGCTATGTAAAAGTCTTCTGCTGTATGTAAGCCATGTCAACATGTGCTCTGTCCGTGTCCCGTGTGTAGATCTTCAGTGGCGGTCTTTCCTTGAGTAGCAATGTAACCTCCCCTCGCTCCACGGTAAACCATTTCATCTCAGCTTCTTTTCATCTTGCTTTGTTTGTTTTGGGGGAGGTTGTGGTCAGAATGAAGCATGCAGTCAACAAAATCATGCCTGACACATTTTAAATCAGATTTCATGGTTTATTTTGACACTTTGTGATTTTTCCATATCAACGGTTAAGGGTGGCATAGTTGTTTGGTGCTGTTGCCAAGAATTATTGTAAAAAGATTTATATAACACTCAGTTTTAGACTTTTAGAAGTCTTTGTTTTGTTGTCACAGTTGGTTTTAGCTTGTGTTGTTAGTCTGGAGTTTTATACAAACTTTTATTAAAGAAAAGTTGTAATCTGAGAAGACACAAGCCACAGTCACCCTCTTTCAATTTTAGGGTTTTCTTTATCAGGTTATAAAATTACTAAAATATAATCTCAGGTGTACAAAAAACTCATGTAACAATTTGAAAATAAAAAGAAATCCAAAATGTGAAAGCTGTGTGTGAAAACCAAATGCTTTTCCATTGGATTTATGAAGAAACAGCAGACAGGTGCTGCCGATCAAACGCACAAGATTACCTGATGCTTATCAATGAGACCGCCTGTATACGTACAACCTTTTTATTGTCTTCAATTCTGCAGAGAGAAAGACTTAACTAGTCTTGTTAGGAGCAGATGTCCCAGTTTAACCCCTGAAGTTAGAGCTCAAAAATGGTAATAAATAAATAAATTAATTAATAAATAACAGGTTTCATTCCAATACTCTGCATGCCTCCATGAGCTAAAGGTTAAAGTTCATGACAGAAAAAAAACTAAGGCCAAACAGGTACAGCTTGTTTGAAAGAGTTTCCAGGAAAACACCTCTTCTAGAGAGCGCATAGCAGCAGCTTGGATTTACTAAGCAGAAGACTTCTGTATCCATGTCCTTTGGACAGATGAGACCAAAGTAGAGATCTGTACCCATAATGCGGCACACAGCTCATACCAGTTATCAGCACAGTGATGGTGGGTTGATGATTTGGGCTTCATGCAGTCAGTTGAGCTGACATTGAACCCATCTGTAGATTAAACTATTTTATAGACAAATGTGAGAACATCTGTCTAAGATTTGCCTGCAAACATCGGTGAACTAAAGCACTGTTGTGAAGAGGAGAACAGTTTAAATTAGTATCACTAAAAAATACCAGATCACTTAGATCATTTCCTGTAAAACCCGAAAGTTAAAAAAGGGAGTCTTTTGTTTCCCTTTGACTGTAAATCACGCTGTTTGCACAAAAAAAACATGAGTTGAATGTTTTTAACGCCAAGTAAAGAATGAAATATGCAATAATTCCACCCTTGTCCTTTACTGTGTAACAGTGTTTTGTTTAGCATGAATCACTGCATGGAGAGTAGGATCTTTTACTATTAATCTTTTCACTACACAATCTCAGCTGCTCACAGACCTGTGATGCAGCAGGTAACTGCATTTTTTATCAGGATTAGAACACAAGCTCTGGCATCAGCTCAGTGTTGTAGGTTAAAGAGGCTTTTACTTGTTGCAAGTTTAATGGGCACCTTGTTTACTCACCACAGTGTTGCAGCAGCCCCTCCACCCCCAGTGGATTGCTGTCCCCAGTGGGAGACAGTCCAGGACATGGGCATTTCCACTGGGAGGAGAGACAGGGACAGTGGTTGAGGAGGCGAAGGCTGGACGGGGCTATCAACAGAGTCCCGATGGGCTTCTACCAGAAGGTCTGGAAGATCCTGCAGAAGTGCCACGGCCTGTCTATTGACGGATATGTTTTACCCTCTTCCACAACAAGAGAGGTGACCTGTTGCTGCTAAATGTGGACCTTTGTGTGCATGTGAGCGTAGATGTGGGTTTGATTCTGTTTCCTGTGTAGATGACTGCAGGAGAGATCAAGTTTGCAGTGCAGGTGGAGTCGGTGCTGAACCACGTCCCTCAGCCGGAGTACCGGCAGCTGTTGGTGGAGACTTTGATGGTTCTGGGCCTAGTGGCTGACGTGGATGTGGATAACATTGGTGGGATCATTCATGTGGATCGCATATTACATTTGGCCAATGACTTTTTCCTTAACGACCAGGTACCCTTACTCTTACACAGATGGCATTCTTTGCTTGAACACCGTCATTTAAGTTTATTCCATCTGATCTTCAGAAATCCTTCAGCGCCACTGATTATTTCCTCCAGAAGGACCCGGCAACAGGAATTTGCAACTTTTTCTACGACAGCGCCCCGAGTGGCAGCTATGGCACCATGACCTATCTCTCCAAGGCAGCAATCACGTATGTCCAAGACTTCCTTCCCAATTCCAGTTGCCTGATGCAGTGAATAAGCTGACAGGTGCTGCCACCGACCGACTGATAAACACCTGAGATTCCCAAGAGATCCGCTGGCTGAAGGCGAACAAAGCTTCTGGTTTTCAGCTCATGTGGTGCTCGTAAATATTTACTCTTCCAAAAAACTTTAGCTCGCATGCACTGTTGCAATATCACGGCTCTGACAGCTGCTGGAAATGACTTTAAACAAGTTTATGTAGTCTTTGTTAGGCTGCTGTTCAAATGTGTGCTTATATTAACTTAGATCAAACATAATTTAAACGAAAATGTCTAAAGACATGAGCACAGCTCTGTGCTTTTAGATAATATATTTTATTGGCTGGTAATTTATTTAGATTTTTATCATTTAATTTAAAATGCTACTGATGCCATCAGTCTTCACATTGATTTGCCTGTGCACTACTAACCATTAAAAAATGTTGTATTTGCACTTAAAACAATAATAATGTGTTCATTTACTATTTTGAATGACCTAAAAATTTGAAGATAAATTAGAGACAGTTATTTTGATGTGAAGATGTTTGTGTGTGTGTGTGTTTTTCTTCTTTCTAATGCTAATTTATCAGTATGTGTGTATTTGAGTGTCACATTGTGGTTTTGCAGCTCACCTGTCTGTTCACCATTACCTCAGCTCACTAAAATGGGCTTAGTTAATTTGTTTGATGTGAAATTAAGTGTATCCCTGCTATGAGTTCATACTGGTTACAGTAGTATTCAAGCGATGTCAGTAACGAAACGTTTCTCTCCCGATAAAGGGCGAAATATCAGGTTCAGTGGTATGATTGTAACAACATTATAACTGAAATCAGAGCACTGTGCTGACTGCATGCACTTTCAGGTGTGGAGAACAACCGAGTGACAGGTGGAACCTGTGTGCTGTATATTTGTAATGTGGCTGGAATAAAGATTTTTCATAACAGTTTCTGTTGTTTCACCTTTGCTTCTATTCTGTCTCCATGTCTGATCAGCTGCTGCAGTATGATAAAAGAAGGATGAAAGATGAGTCAGGGGGTATCTGAATTCAGATATTTATCATAATGACCTAACAATTTATAAAGACACAACACATATTTAGAATTACCCACCATTTTGGAAAATTTGTTCTCTACTTGCATGATCAGGGGAGCATAGCTGGGAATCAGACTAAATAATCACCATCTGATTAAGCTTTAACTCAGTCATGAGAATAGGTATGCAATAAATATAAAAGGTGTATCTATTATTTTTACAAGCACAAAATAAATAATTGGTATCCAGTAAAAATCAAATAACAGTAGAAATATTCAAAAATGATTATAAACATTTATGTGTTAAAAAATATTGTTTTACTGCACAAGATGGTCATTAATTATTACAGCACTGTTACTTTATCACGTGAATCTCATATATATATATATGATATATATATATTTTTTTTTGGGGGGGGGGGCGACGGTGGCACAGGAGCTAAGTGCTCGTCCCGTAATCGGAAGGTTGCAGGTTCGAGTCCCACTCAGTCTGTCGCTGTCGTTGTGTCCTTGGGCAAGACACTTAACCCACGTTGCCTGCTGGTGGTGGTCGGAGGGACCAGTGGCGCCAGTGCTCGGCAGCCTCGCTTCTGTCAGTGCGCCCCAGGGCAGCTGTGGCTACATTGTAGCTCGTCCCCACCAGTGTGTGAATGGGTGAATGACTGATTGTGTTGTAAAGCGCCTTGGGGGGGTTCTAGGACTCTAGAAGGTGCTATATCAAATATAGGCCATTTACCATTTTACCATATATATATATATATTAGCTGGTTTTATGCATCTATCTCAGGTCTGATAGGGGTTTGTATCAGCTCAGCCAGATGTGCTCACTATTATATTCGGTAAACATTTCATCCCGCTGTAGGGCGACAGGTGAAGAGAAGCAGGACAGGAGCATTTATACCCTCCTCTTCAGTTCTCACACAGATGGGAGCAGCCTCCGTTCTTCTGATTGCACTCGTTGATGTCTGAGAAAGCAACAAGAAAGTTTGTTTCACAATTTATAAAGTGGCTTCTCTATAAAAAACAAATCTTGGTGAAGCTTGTCCTCCAAACACAAGGACTCTGACCTGTACAGCGCCGTCCTTCTCTCTTAAGTGTGTATCCTCGTGGGCAGATGCAGTGATAGGACCCTGGTAGGTTCACACACCGCTATTCACACACTTCCTCCAAGCACTCATTAATATCTGTGGGCACCAAATAAAGTTTTGGTGGATAACTTATAGATAAATTGTGCGTCTGTTATATAAATGTGAAAGAAACAGATATGGAGGGTATTTTCTCACCTACCTGCACATTCCTTTGTCTGTATGTGTTTAGTGTAATTTGCAGATAGTGTGCTCGGTTGCTTCCTGTGTCCAGGTGGACACTCTGCAATGCAGCAGTGTCTGTCTCCAGCTAGCGGGTATCCAGATGTGCATGAGCATCTGTAAGATTCTGGTAAGTTGTGGCGCCGTTGCATGCACTGCCCAAGTCCCTCGTTAGCAGCACACTCATCTATGTCTGGTTTACATAAGACTGTTTCAAATACATAGAAAATAAATAGAAATTGTCTGTACATTTAATAAAAATGTGCAGGTTTATGTGCTTTTTTTTAGTACAGCTAGAAAGAATTGGAGGAACCAGGTTGCCTTTTTATTTAATGCTGCCAAAAGAAAAGAAGCTGGGATTCAAAATAATCTCAGGAAAATGATCCTCTACCTTTGCACAGACCATCTGCTGTCAGTTGGCTGAAGCTGTCTGGGCACGAGCAGTGGAAGCTCCCGGGGCTGTTAATGCAGCCAAACATGCACCTTGTCACAGCTGCAGGCAGCAGACACTCATCAACATCTGGAAAAGTAAAGAGAAAGGATGCTTTTCTTAAGTTAAATTACTTAAACAGGCACATGTGTAAGAACAGTCAGCTAGTCACACACTGGTGCAGGATGTCTGGTCGGGAGCTGGTTGGTACCCGGGGCAACATCTGCATTTGAAGGAACCAAATGTGTTGATGCAGCTGTGCTGGCACTGGTGCTGTTTCTCCACACACTCATCTAAATCTGCATTCACATAAACAGCAACAACAGTCCAAACAATGACTTCTTTACAAGGTGGACAGATTTAGTGCTGATCTAATGTCTGGCTGACATGCTTCATCTTTATCAAACAGAATTTGCTCCTTTAGGCGACTTTTTGGTTTAGTCACTGTAATTTTCTCGCTGCTAAGCACATTAGATTGTTTTTGAGTTAGAAGATCAAATTCAATGTCTGCTTCTCTGGATGCACTGTTAGTCAAAGTGTCCAAGTGGGGAAGTTGTTTGGCGATTTTCAGATTTTTCCAAACTGAAGATTGAAACTGAGCTCATAATGTCTGATTCTATAATGAAAACACAGAAAAAATTATGAAATTTAAATATCTGAGTATCAACAAAAATGTAGTAGGCTACAAGTCTCCTGCTGCTACACAATACACCCACTTCTACACACAGGCTTTGTGCCATTTCAGATGTGGCCCTTGCAGTATAACAGGGAGGGCCTACGTAAGTGAAAGCCAGTATTACAGCTAAACAACATGGTGCTCATGCCATGTACGAGCAATCCTGGACGGGAGCAGCCAGAACCTGGGAGAGAAGATGGGAACATTGCAGTAAAAACATGCCCCAGTAAATTGTGTTTCTGCTACAACTGCAAGTACACAACTCCTTTAAGTAGTTTGAACTTAATATTTTGTCTCTTTAAATACCTGGAAATTTTAAATTTCAGCTCCTGAGCTATCAAGGCTATTAAAATAAACCGTGAACTATTTTTTTCCTTTACATCTTTTTTCAAGAATTTCATTGAAAAACTCTTGTACATTTTTATTTAAAAAAACTTGAAATTTCAGTTTTGTCTTCTTCTGGCACCCGGAAGGTTCAGACGCTTCTCTTTTCTCTCCCTTGTCTTTTTTCCCCCCAATGCTCTTGTCCTGTTTGCTTCTCTGCATTCCTCCTGAAAACTCAATTTGTATTAAATCATGGACTTGGTCATTCAACCCAGTTGACAAGATTTTTTCAACAATAAGCACAGAGCAGGGGGCTCCTACTTGTCCAGATGGAATGCACCCAGTGGGAAATGTATTGGATTCCTGGAAGGGGTGGAATATTAGTATATGCCTTTCTCAGCTGTCCGTGGGGGACATGGAAGACCTATGGATTTTTGGCCTGATAATAACTCTATTTTTTCTGTTTGGAGTGGGAGGATTTCTGGCTTGGAAAACTGGTAAGTTGGGGGCGAATGGAGTGCAACCTGTACCCATGGAAATTCTCAGCCGTGTGGAAACCGCTCAGACTGGGACGTTACTCGAGGTGAAGTGCAAGCTGGTTCTAGCTGCAATCCTGGTAGTTAGAAAGTCACTGAGATTGAGTGACCGAGTTACTGGATTTACTGAGAAACTGGAATGATCAGTTATAAACTGAATGGCAGAAAGAAAATGATCTCTGCCTGACCAAAACAATTCTTCTTATCTGAATTTGGCACCCTGGTAGCCTTGAACTGCGAGAAGAAAAAAAAAACCTCCATGAAGGAAAGCAGACAGATGCTGTAAAATCATGACACCCCCCGAACAACTAAGTCCTTCAGGGGTACTTCTTTGCTCATGAAATACGTATGTGGAGTAACCAGGTAGATACTGTAGGTTTTAACTGTTGCAAATCTGCAACACCTGCCTCCAGAGGGTTAAATCCTTAACAACACAAACGGGGAAGTCCCGAGACCAGCGTCCAGATACACAGCTGTTGGTTTTCAATCCGTGGAGTTTGTATCCAGGATTACATCGAAAGATCACCAGGAGTCCGCTGTAACGGAAGAAAGTCTGTCCGTTGTCCAGTTGCCCAAACCAGCTGCATCCCTCCTCTCCACATACTGCAGACAGTTTCAACATCAGTGCCTATAATCACATTTTATCATCAAACAGAGCTGACACTTCAACAAAACATACCTGCAACAAAGATGACAGCTAGAGTGATTAGTCTGACCAGGAGTGCCTTGTCAGCTCCTATCTGAATGTGTGTAAGATGACACTGATCTATAGGGGTTTAAGTCTCTTTCGTAAAGTTTGAAAGAAGAAGGGAGGAGCAGAGAAAAGAGGAAAAAGTAGCAATAAAACCCAAGGAGGGTAGAAATCCCACAGGTTAAAAAGGAAATGAGGGAAAAGGAAGATAAGTAGTCTGACAGATGGATCCAAAAGACACAAAATTAACTAGACTTTTCTTCCTTTCAATGACAAACAAGAATCTGACTGTTTGACAGTTTGAAAGTGGGATATTTGAGTAATCTGTTGGTCTAATACTTTGTGTTTAAGTGTCTTTAGTAAAAACCTGAACCCACCTGACTGCTGGATGCCTAGGCCTGTTTAACAGCTCTCACTACTCATAATTACAGAGGAACAAATACCAGAGGGAAGGGGACCATCAACACACACACACACACACACACACACACACACACACACACACACACACACACACACACACACACACACACACACACACACACACACACACACACACACACACACACACACACTGAAAAGCACACTCTAAAATCATATAAATACTCTTTAGGTAGAGCTTTGGTTCACTTGTTTAATCAATACATTTGCAGTGGTCTCTAGTAGGAATGAATGCCTTCTAAGTCATACTCTGGGGGGAAAAAGCTCTGGTGCACCAGTTTCAGGAACTAGAAGTGAGCTACATCAAAGGAGAGCTTCAGATGACAGGAGTCTTATTTACTGATATTTGAACATTTCACCCTTTGATTGGATAACAGCAACACAACTCTGACTTGCAATGTTGATGTTTCATCTCCATAAGCAACACAAGCCTGGATGAGTTCTGCTGTGTGGTGGCATTGCTAATGCTAAAAATTAGCTTCTACTAATCAAGACGTTCTCTGCTGTTTCCTTGAAACTAAACCAACAGGAGCCTTCCTCGTCACAAGTCAAGATGAGTCCATGAATGTTAAGTGACAGTGTGATGTAGATTTATTTATTTATTTATTTAACTTATGTTTTTCAGGAGGATAAACTGCTTGAGATGTAACATCTCGTTTTCGAGCAGGTCCTCCTATAACACAACCAATAACAAATAAGGTGGCAGAGTTAGAAAGTTATAATAGACTTAAAAAAATAAAATAAAAAAAAGAAGGAAAGTAAATAATAGTAAAATTAACGATATGTATAAATATATATATACACACGTAAATATAAACACATAAGCATGGATACATAGATACCCACACGTGTACATACGTACATACATACCTATATACAAAATTAAATTAAATAAAACTGCTGTGAGGCACTGAAAGAGAAATAAGGGCAAGAAATTACATTGTAAATAAACCTAAAGTGAAGTGATATCCCAATTGAATACAAAGTTTGGCAACGAAATACAGCATGTTAGCCAGTGAATGCACAAAATCATTATAGTAAAGATTAAACAAAGCAACAGCTTGGCTTTACATAAGCATAAACCGTGCGGGAAAATTGACGAATTGTTGAGATGGATCTTAATTCAGTCGGGCTTTTCAAATCCTAGAGTTTCACCGTCTATTTTCTGTCAGAATCTAATGCAGGAGATAGGTGTAGGCGACTATTTTCATGTTCAGTCTGCATTAGTAACTCAGGGTGACCAATTATAATGTAAAAAATAACTGAAAGTAACTGATTATAATCAGAAATAAAATTTTAAAATGGTACACCTTTAATATAAAATTAATATCAAAGATTGGGGAAAGTCTTAGGTGTGTTCTTGCTGTGTCTTTCTAAATCCATTCTTTCGTTCTTTTTTAAACGCAGAAACAGTTTTGTTTACCTGTTTGTAGCTACAGTTTCGCCGACGGCTGCCGGCTTCTTCAGGCTGACGCTGATGGTGACGTTGTCGCCCTCTACTGCTCGCTCTCCCCTCTCCGACGATGCAGTGGGACCATGAACAGGGACGACGGAGTTTACACGCTGGACCACGCATGGGACTGCATCGTCGGAGAGGGGAGAGCGGGCAGTAGAGGGCGACAACGTCCTCTGCTGCCCGCAGATAAACGGAGAAGGAAGTGACGCCACCATCAGCGTCAGCCTGAAGAAGCCGGCAGCCGTTGGCTAAACTGTAGCTACAAACAGGTAAACAAAACTGTTTCTGTGTTTAAAAAAGAACGAAAGAATGGATTGGGGAAAGTGTTTAATAGATTAAAAATGAACCAATATAAAAAAACTTGGGAGTCGTGACTCCGAACAGGATGATGTTTAAACAGAAAATGAGTGTAAGATTTAAATACAGAGAAGATAAATAAACACTGACAGCAACAATGTGAATGCGTCTAATATTAATATTATTGATAAAAATCTTAAAATGTGTTTTTAAATGTCTCATCATGTGATCTAAAGCATCTATTGTATTAAAGATGTGGTAAATAAATAATAATTAGGTAAATTATGAAAGTCTCACGTGTCCTTTGTAAACAGTGACACCTAGTGGCAGAAACACACTAGAGCTGTGGTTGAGTCTGAACCACCAGAACTCTTCTATGGATCACAGCAGAGTTTGGAGGTTTTTTTTTCTGGGTAAAATAATTAATATGAGCAGATCAATGACTTTATTTACTTTTCAGAGATGAACGAGTTTATACTAAACCAGTTTTAAGATCTGGGTCTACAGATGTCAGTATACATGTTATAGATTACCATTAAATACCCATCAGAATCTTTTAATTCTTCCAAAAGGGTTTGGATAATCAACTCATCACACACCGCTGTGACTGAGGCCTTCTCTCATAAGTCAAGCTTCCATCCTTCGAGATGTCATTAATTTTGTTTAGCAGATCCTGGACCTGCTTTCTGTCCTCCATCTGTTTGTTGTTGAACACTTGGTACAGACCGCTGCATTTCTTCAGCAGCTTCTGCAGGTTGGTATCTTCTGAGATAAAGTCTTCTATGGTGGTGTCTTCCAGCCGTTCTCCATAGGTGAACAGAACCATGGTGTGTTTGGAGACATCAGAACTCAGCATCTTCTCCAGTGTCTCCATACTTTTGTACTCTGGCGGGGTGAATCTGCCCAGCTGGATGGTGACGAGGAAGATGTGAGGACCTGGAGAGCTCATCTGGACGGCCTCCAGCAGATTCTCTTTCACCTTGTCTGCAGACAGCTGAGAGCTGAAGAGTCCGGGGGTGTCCACCACAGAGACTTTGTGACCCAAAACTTCACCCTCCATCTTTTTACAGCTCAGAGTCAGAGGACCGGAGCTTAACTGACTGTCAAAGCGCTTCTTCCCCAGGATGGTGTTTCCTGCTGAACTCTTGCCCACTCTCTCCTGACCCACCAGAACCACTCTGAGGTCTGAGCCTGAAAACAACAAGAGTTCATCAGGTCTGATTCCTTCTGACCATCAGGGGCAGTTCTCACACATCAACACTGATCACACTCACACAGTCAACATGAAAACACACTTTGTCTGAATAAGAAAGAAGCAGTCACAGATGTTTTGCTCATATCTACAAATTTATTAAGACAAAAAATACAGAAGAAACTGGGAGCAAATGTCTCTGATGTTCTGCTTTCATCAACACAAATACATCAAACTGGCTGATTCCTGATTCTCAACATTTCTTCTTCACTCTGACCCTTCCTATGAAAGCACAAAAAACATTCAATTAAACAAAAAACATTAATAATGTTCATTAATGTAGCCTATCTAAAATGCAGACTCAGATTTATATAGTACTTTACAACAAAAACTGCATCAATGTGTTTATTCCCTCCTTCCCTCAATCAGCAGAGTGATTGAACATATGTAAAAGCTCTCAAAATGAAGCCTTTGATACAGTTAAACATACCAATAAAAGCTTTAAAAACTTTTCCTTTTGAGCCAATATATCAAAACAGGATCCAAAATTGAGAACTCCAGCAGAAAATGTCTGATATCAGTTCCATTTTTGCTCTCTTGTTTTTTGTAATATATTCAACTAATGAACTGTGATGAATAAACCAAGTTCATTGCTGAATTTGTATTTGCCTTAATGACGTTTCAAGAAACAATATTTTGCTGTCCATGAAAACTCAAATACGCAAAATCATGAGTTTGTCAACAAATAAACAGAATTTATCGGGACTGCTGTGAGGTGGGGATGCAGATCAACATGACTGTTTTACTGTGGTGACTATGTTCCTTTATTAGCATTAGAGAGCTCTACAATGATAAAGGTTCATAATCCCTGTGCACAGGTTAAAAAACATTGAGTTAATTTTTCTTGCTATGGATATAATTCCTGTGGCTTTTAAGAACAACAGTGCTGTGATGACTCACTCACTGTATAACACAGGCATCCTTTTTAACCGCTACAGCTATAGCTCCCACTGCAAGTCCCACACCAGCTCCAATTAAAGCTCCTGCTGGACCTGCAACAGCTCCAACTGTTGCTCCTACTTTAGCTCCTGCAGCTACTCCAGCACCAACTCCGAAGGCAACTCCTGCAGTTCCTCCAATAACAGCTCCATATTTTACAGCACTCCGAATGAAGTCATTGTCTTCCTCTGCCTTTTTTCTTGCATCACTAGGATTCATACCTGGATTATTTTTCAGAATTCTCTCAGTTTCTTTCTTTATGGCTTTCTCAGCTTCTCGCAGCATTTCATTTGTGTAGTAGCTTCCTCCATTCTTCTGAACCATCCGGTTGATTTTCTCCAGCAGCTCTTTGACCTGAGACGAATCCTTGCTTCTGTTGTTGAAGACATGATGTCCTCCACCACACTCATTGACAAAAGCACAGAGGGGCGAACTTCTCAGAATAAAACTTTCTATGGAGACGTCTTCTTCCTCCAGATCATCTCCATGGGTGAACAGCACCATGGTGTAACGTGCTGCTTGTTTCCCAAAGGTCAGCTGAATGAGTTTCACCGTTTTCTGTTCTTCTTCTGTGAATCTGTTGAGTTGGATCACAACCAGGAACACGTGAGGGCCAGGAGCAGCATAAGAGATGCATCTGGCAATCTCTCTCTTTACCTCCTCCTGGTCTCTTGTATCAAACAGACCTGGAGTGTCAACCACAGCCAGAGTTTGACCATCAAACTCTCCCATTTCTTTCTTACAAACTGTGGTAAGTGAGGAAGGAGACAGTTTAGACTCAAAAGCTTTTCTCCTTAAGATGGTATTTCCTGCTGCGCTCTTTCCAACTCCAGTTTTCCCAACAAGCACCATCCTGAGGTCTGGTTCCCTTGGTTCTGTTGGACAATAACACATTACTTATGTTGATAATGATCTCATGCATATATGTATGCACCTAAACACAATCACATACTAATTGAAATTATGTATTTGATGGTTAAACATCACTGCCAACAGCCACAATAAGGTTTTTTAAGAACCATCTCAAACTGGAGACATTTATTTAAATACCAACACTAGAAAACAAAGATATAGAAGTAGTTTTTTCTATGGACAATTGCAAAGTTTTACAAATATTAGAACATTGATACAGTTCTAAAATATTTGGCTTTATAGACCACCACAATGGATTTGAAATGAGACAAACATGATGTGCTACAACTGAAGACTGACAGCTTTAACTTGAGGGCATTTACATCCCAATCAGATGAACGGTGTAGGAATTACAACAGTTTGCATACATCCCGCTTGTTAACAGACCAACAGTAATGGGACAACTGGCTTCTCAGCTGTTCCAAGGCCAGATGTGTGATATTCCCTCATTATCCCAGTTACAAGGTCCAGGGGTCATTTCAGGTGTGCTATTTGCATTTGGAATTTGTAGCTGCCATATCTCAAGGTGTCACTATCAGTGAAGAAATTCATCCTTAAGCTGAATAAACGAAACAAACCTTTCAGAGAGCTAGCAAAAACTGTAGGCATGGCCAAAACAACAGTTTGCAACATTCTTATAAAGAAGGAAGGCACCGAAGAGCTCAGCAACGCCAAAATACCCGAAAGTCCATGAAAACTGCTGTGGTGGCTGACCAAAGAATGATGTCCCTGGTGAAGAAAATACTCTTCACAACAGTTTAAGAACACTCTCCAGGAGGTGGGTGTATGAGTGTCACAGTCAACAATCAAGGGAAGACTTCCCCAGAGGAAAGATGTAAACCATTGGTGAGCCTCAAAAACAGGAAGGCCAGATTAGAGTTTGCCAAACATAATCTAAACAAGTCTTCACAGTTCTGGAATAACATCTTATGGACAGATGAGACCAAGATCAACTTCTTCCAGAGTGATGGGAAGAGAAGAGTATGGAGAAGGAAAGGAACTGCTCATGATCCTAAGCATACCACCTCATCAGTGAAACATGGTGGTAGTGTCATGACGTGGGCATGTATGGCTGCCAAACGAACTGGTTCTCTTGTCTTTACTGATGATGTGACTGCTGACAAAAGCTTCAGAACTCATTGGACAGCGTTTTTACAATGCAGATGGACAATGACCCAAAGCATACTGCAAAAGTAACCAGAGTTATTTTAGGCAAAGAAGTGGAATTTTATGCAATGACCACATCAATCACTTGACCTGAGTCAAACTGAACATGCATTTCACTTGATGAAGACAAAACTGAAAGGAAAAGGCCCCAAGAACACGCAAGAACTGAACACAATTGCAGTAGAGGCCTGGCAGAGCATCACCAGGGATGAAACCCAGGCTGTAATTCACTGAAAAGGATTTGCAACCAAGTACTAGTAAGTGAAGGTTTGATTTATGATTAATATTTTGTCCCATTATTTTTGTTCCTTAACAAGTGGGAGGCACATATGCAAACTGTTGTAATTCCTACGGGCTGCACAATGGCGCAGTGCTATTGCCTTGCACCAAGGAAGTCCCGGGTCTCTCTGCGAGGAGTTAGCATTTTCTCCCTATTCATGCATGGGTTCCCCCCGGGTACTCCAGCTTCCTCCCACAGTCCAGAAATATGACTGTCAGGTTGATTGTTTTCTCTAAATTGTCCTTAGGTGTGACTGTGCGTGCATGGTTGTTTGTCCTGTGTGTTTTTGTGTTGCCCTGCGATGGACTGGCAACCTGTTCAGGGTGTACCCCGCCTGTTGCCCGAAGACAGTTGGAGTTAGGCACCAGCCCCCGCACGAGCCTGAGTGGAAAAGCGGGTTAAGAAAATGGATGGGCGAATGAATGGACGGATGGATGTAAATCCTACATCGTTCACTTGATTCGGATGTAAATACCCTCAAATTAAAGCTGTCAGTCTGCAGTTATAACACATCATGTTTGTCTCATTTCAAATCCTTTGTGGTGGTGTAAAGAGCCAAAAATGTTAGAATTGTGTCAATGTCCTAAAATTTGTAGACCTGGCTGCACATGGTATGAAAGCTAAAGCTAAAGCTAATACACATTCACCAGAGAGGGAAGCTATCCTCCTCAGCATGGGAGGTGGCTGTTGAGTCTAAGAGCCATATTGGAAGATAGATAACTTTGTTGTCCAGTTACAATAAAACTGAAATTTGTCTTTGACACAGCTTCATAACATAAGATAATAAGAAAAACCCTCTTATTAAAATCATTATTTTAAAAACACATCCACGAAACAGCAAGAGAAAAATCAATAGTGCAGTTATTAAATAATTTATTACAGATGGGATGAAGGACTTGTTGTAAATGTTTCTCAGGACCTGTGGGGTTCTGGATCATCTGCCTGATGGCAGCAGAGTGAAGAAGCGGCGCTGAGGATGAGAGGTGTCCTCGGTGAAAAGAGTGGCCTTGCTCACCTCAGAGCACCCACAGCTCCACCAGAGGACGTTGAGGTGATCCAGTTATTTTGCTGACCTGATTTATTATACTGGAGAGTTTCATTTTGGTCCTGATGGTGAGGGATTTGAACCAGGTTGACATGTTTTAAGTGACAATGGATAGGATGAGTGATCTATAAACAAGGGCTAAAATGTCTGATATTTAAAACTCTTCTGAGCAGGTAAACACACCGTTGCTTTTATTTGAAGGATGAACAGCAGAGCCTCAGCAGTCTGTGGTCTGCTATTATAATTTAAATGACCATGTCTCTGGTAGCATTTACAGTGTGATGGGAGCAAGTTAGGTTGTTGGTTTGCCAGCAGAGGTGGCAGGCAATGAGACTCGGTGAAAGTAACGATGAATCTCCTGACTCATGAGAGATGTTGACAATTTGACTCCCCATGCTAAGGCAAAGAGATGGTGCAGTTAAGCTACTTATCTCTGCAGGCATGAAAAGGCTCCTAAACTCAAAATAAACTGTACTCAGTTGCTTCAACTTGGCAACGAACGCATTTTGATTGTAATTTTGTAACAGCAGCTTGTTATAAAAACACAATTTATTTCATTTCCCCAACATGAACAATTAAAAAAGAGCATTATGAAAATCTCTTATATTGATGGAAAAGAAAACATATGATGGGTTGTTGAAAATGAGCTCAAATCTGACTATAAAAAAAGTCATGTACACTTTAGAGTGCTAATTGTTTATTTCTATGTGACTGAAACTATATTCCACCTCTGTGGGTCCCATGGCTACTGCTATTCATGGTCAAGGTTTGAATGTTGTTTGTTTTTCTGGATGTCGGTGGCAGGTCCAAGTTTATGTTTAAAGTTTACTTTAACAAATGTTTTCCTCTCCATAACACATTATTCCAACTTCCTCATTACTTGGCTCTTGGAGTCTTTGTTTCACAGTGGAAGGAAAAGAAGTGCACCGACACATGCAGGGCGCAAGGAAGAGATAAGAGTTTGTGACTATGTTTATCATGCACATCTTGTTTATCTAAGTAAGTATCAAACACATGTTGGACAGAATGTTCTAGCATGGAGCAAAAAAAAAGTCTCTCACTCACTCACACACACGCACACGCGCACACACACCCTAGCCACCTGAGTCAATGAACATTTTAGGGTTTTAGTTTAAATATCAAAAACTGATCATTTTACAACCAGACTAGACTGTGAATGATTCAGTTTAAGAAAAAAAGAGAAAGTTTTCAAATGACATTTTTCCAGGTAACATGTAACAGTTTTTTTCTTAATAAACAACAAACAAGTCAAGAATTGCTAAACAATACAAAGGTTGGCATTTGATCATAAGCACAAATAATCAAAGTTCAATAAAATAAAATGTATCTACAATTATTGTATATTTGAAATATAAGACAGAAAACAATGTTTTTGCTAGAAAAGCACTAAAAATATTTAAATGTACTTACGAGGCATCTTGCTGGCCATTGTTGTCTTCAACAAACTTGCTGTTATGTTACTGCAAAATTTCTGATGCTGAATACTTTTTCTTTCTCTTCTCAGCTCTCTTATACCAGACCCTCCCTCTGACTGCCTCCACACACACACACACACGCACGCACGCACGCACGCACGCACACACACACACACACACACACACACACACACACACACACACACACACACACGCGCGCGTGTGACAGTGTGAGTGTCCTGTCACAGTGTCCCGATTGATCATGCGCCCTGGCTACTTGGCCAAGGGGATGTCCCTTTAGCTGACTGGTTAGAGCGTATGACTCTCACCCGGGAGTCTGGGAATCGAATCCCGCCCGGGCCCTCGTTTATCCACCTTGCCACACGCGCACACACACACACGTTTCAGTTTGGGCTTTAAGGAGGTACATCCGCTTCCTATAAACCACATGGTTCTCTGCAGAGGCTGCTTTCACAGAAATCACATAGTACAGAATAATATGACCCACCACCACTCTGATAAGAAAACTCTCTGCAGTGTGAGGAAACACAAACAAGTTGTTGCAGCAAAGCTCAGATCTTTGTAACTTGGCTAATACTCTTTAAAATATGAACTTCAGTCACATATAATCACATATAATCCTCCTGAACAAGACAAGGAGGAAATGCTATTATTATTTATTACATAGTTATTTTTAGATCCTGGTTCTACCAGCTGCTCACTGGAAAAATGCTTGCTATAGACCGGGGTACTCAAATGTAATGGTCCGAGGATCACTTCAAAAAACGAACTTGAAGCACAAGGTCCGGTCCAGGGGGTGGGGAAGTGTTGGCGGTTCATTACACTTGCCTACAATATAGTGAAACACCAATGCACACCTGCGCCGTTCCTACCCCTCCTGGACGGGTGTGGGGGTGGGGTGCGTGCAGTTCGGGGGCGTTATATTCGTACACTGTACCTGCACATATTTGTCAGTTTCAAACTTAAAGATGTAATAGAAAGATTTTTTTTTAACAATAGGAAATGGCATAGAATATAAAACTTTATTGGGGCTCACAATGGCCCAGGAGCCCTTCAATAAAACAGTTTTTTTTTCACCCACTCCTTCCTGGCTAAACATAGTTTGTCTAAACAAGCTGCGTGCTGGTTGCCTGGTCTAACCCAGTGGGGGCACTCCCCATAGTGCCACGTGGTTTAGGAGAAAACGAAAGCTGCCTGTGCTTAGAGTCGAGAGGTTTACAGGAAACTGTTCTGTCAGATGGCCAGATCTGGACTCAGAGCTGTGGAACTGTTGAGTTATAGCCTCTAGTGTGCCAGATAGCATTCAGGGAAGGGTGCTACACAGTGCTTAATTACATTATTTGATGGGGGAGCGCAATTTGATGGTACACTGAAACGCAAAGTGCATGAGGCACAGATAAAAGACAGAAAGACAGAAAGCATAAAGGTTATGAGCTGACATAAACGATCGCGTGTTAAGTTTGTTTTTGAGGTGGCGACACTTTGATAATATTACTGTGGCCGTGCTCAGGACGCATTTGTCTGGAGCGCATCAACGATCAGAGCTCTGCTCCTCTCAGCTCAAAATAATCCCTGGAGAGTCCACATGAATAATGTTATATAAGTAGAACCAGGATCTTTTTCGGAATCATCCTGGGTGTGGAAGTTGAGGGCTTCCAGGGGGGTCTGTCACTCTTTCAGGTGAGCCGGGCTCCCTTTAGCTCATACGTAATTTGGACCCTGCATATAGCAAGTTGGCTGCATTTCCCACAAGATCCAGCTCAAATTAAGCCCTGGTGCTACATGAGGGTGAGGTCTTCACAGACATCTTCAACATGGTACTGTCCCAGTGTTCTGTCCCCACCTGTCTAAAAACCTCCACAATACCACAAATACTCCAAAAGTCTGGATAAACAAGCCACAACGACTACAGGCCTGTAGTTTTAACACCTCTCATTATGAAGTGCATGAAAAGACTGGTGCTGCAACACATCAAACTTCTTCCATCTGTTAATCGTTACAGGGCAATTAAAACACACACCACAAGGCTGTTAAACAGCTTTTATGCTAGAGCCATCATGAACTGAATGTAGCTGCTGATACCTCAACATATAACTGTTTACATTTTTATTAGGTTCACTTTATATTTCAGTTTATTTTTTAGACTTGTCTTATTACCATGTTTTCATGATACCTTTACTTTTGCACCTTAAACTGACTGTGTGTGCGAAATGTGTGTGTGTGTGAGAGAGTCTGTGTGTGACATCAATTTTGGCCTAGTTATTTTATTTGACTCATATTTTACTACCTCCTTACGTGAGCTGTCTTTAGTGAGCGCTAGGTCAGTTTCGTTGTACACCTGAGCAATGACAATAAAAAGATCTTGAATCTTGAATCTAGTCTGAATTGGTCACATATTTGGAACAGGGCAAAATTATTCAACAGAAATCGCTTCACTGAGACGATATAGACATGCAAGAAGAGGAAAACAAAGCTTAGTCAAAATGAAATGTGAAGAAATACACTCCTCGATGTCTAAGGGCTTTATTGACAAGGTTTACAAAGCTGAGTGAGCAGAAGCTAATGGCAGCGTGGAGCAGTCGCATGGGCTAAGGCTAAAGCTAAGCAATACAAGAAAATATGCAAGCAAATGCAGCGCGGCTGACCCCCAAATTCCACTACCTCCGCTCCGCTCCGCTCCGGTCCGCCCCCGCCTTCCGCAGCCGCTCGCTTCCAAACTCAATTTTTACTGGTACCCGCTCTACAACGGCTCCGCTCCGGTGCGGAGACCTGAGGGGGCAAACAAGCATGCGCGGGACTTTCGAGATCTTGCGATACAGTCCGAGCAATAAACGCGGAAGTTAGATCCAAACACCCGTTGTGTGAGAGAAGCATCGGCATGAGCTGTTTAATCTGCCCATCATTTGTGTTGAGACATCAGCAGTGTTTGGATCAACAAAGTGTGACTACTTTGATAGTAGAAACTGTATTTATGGCTTATTTTTGTGCATTTAAACTTCAGCCGCCATTGATAGTTGCTAAAAGTTTTTAAACCTGTGCATATGAAACAAAAAACGCCTTTTGTTTATCGATTTATTGTGAAAAACGGAAATTGTGCTTGCTCCTTTTCCTGTTGGGCCGTTGTGATTTCTGTCCATTTACTGCGGAGGTGCTCCGGCGTCCGGCGAAAATAGGATCGATTCTATTTTTGCCGGACGCCGGAACAGAGGGCGGCGCATGGCGCCGCACTGCCGGAGCACGACCGCAGTAGTGGAATTGCTCTGATTGACTACAACGGGACCGATTTTGCTCCGGCGTTCGTGCCGGAGCGGAGCGGAGCGGAGCGGAGCGGAGGTAGTGGAATTTGGGGGTTAGCATGCATACTGACAATGTGACCATTATGCTAGCTGAACAAGCATGTGAAGACTTACAGATACAAGTCGAACAGTAGCATGGATAGACAGCAGTGTGATGGTTGAGCAGCAGCGAGACAAATGGCAAGCAGAGGTATGTACAGTCAAGGATAGCCGCATGTAAGTGATTTCAGGCACATTCCTGAAGGCACCTTTTCCCTCAAGGTTCGCTCACAGTGCACCCTAGTGGCCGGTGGTGCACTCTGCATCCCCCCAGTCCAGGAAGCCGTGTGACAGGATGGCGCAGTGGACTCATGACCTAACCCACAGGCCAGTTCCAGGTACATATTGCTTGGGTGGCCGGCTTATCTGACCAGAGCCCGCTGGCTGGGAGGAGAGAGGTGACGGGCACTGTTCCGGGGTCTGCCTGTGGATTACGTCTGGAGGATCATCGGTCGACATGGGGTCGCGACAAGGTACCGGCTGGCGGTGCCAGGGTTTGTGCCTGGGGGCTTGGGTAATATATGTAACAGATCTGGCAAGGTTCCCGCCGACCCTTGGTTGGCAGGACCTAACTCGTGTGTCTCATCGTCGGATGCAGGCAGGGGCGCGGCTCTCTCTGGGTGAGTGCGAGGGGTGGCCGGGGTGAAGGCGCGGCGAAAACTCCGGTTGCGCAGGGTGAGGTGGCCAGACCCATCGACCCTGACACAGTATTGGTCATGTCCTAGTTACTCTACTACTACCCCAGATCTGTCCCATGCCCACGGGCTACAGCCAACTCGGTTCTGGGGGAACACCGCCTCCCCGACTATGAGAGGGCGGAGTGGTCGCACATGCTCTCTCAGAGAGATGCGGGCCATCCGAGTACAGAGGGCCTTTTCTTTCACCCCCCATGGCTGATACCAGAGCGGACGGATGTGAGGATTGGAGAACTTCTCCAGCCTATTAACAAATGACAGCAAGTCCCTGAGGGGGCGGCCAAAGATAATTTGCACGGGCGACAGGTCGCAGTCGGGGTCAGGTGTATTACGGAGTTGCAATATCGCATGCAGGAAGCGGTCATAGTTGAGGCTTCTGGTCAGGCCGGTGTTTGAGACTAGGAGGCGCTTCGCCATCTTTACAGTCACCTCCGCCGTTCCATTGGACTAAGGATGCAACCCAACCAAGAGCACACGGTGCTTGACCTGCCATAAGCGGAGGAAGTCCGCTGTGCACCCTGCCGAGAACTCCGGGCCCCCGTCACTTGACAGCTCTTCCGGCACACCAAATGTGGCGAAGAAAGCCCTTAAGTGACGGATTAGCCCAACGGAGCCCCCGAGGTTGGTGCCTGCAGGAGAGCTCATGAGTTCCACCTAGCCATAGAGGCGATCGCCAACGACCAGGTAATGGTGACCCCTATAAGTCGAAGAAATCCACAAAAACCTCCTCAAATGGCGTGGATGGTGGTGAGGCTGGCATGGGAGGCATGGCCAGACCTCAGCAGCAACGACTTTATGGGATTTTTCACAAGAAAAATTAATTCTATTAGAAACAAAATCATTAGCATCCTCCCTAATGTAATTTCTTCTTTCTCAGTAAATGGGGCAGCATCTGATGTAACTGTAGAACCTCATCTGTGTTTGAACTGTTTCTATCCAGTTGAGCTTTCAGAGTTATCAAAAATATTAGCTTCATCTAAATCTTCAACTTGCATTTTAGATCCAATCCCAACCAAATTATTTAAAGATGCATTTCCTTTGGTTACTGCCCCCATTCTAGATACAATCTATCCTTAGTAAATGGATACGTACCACAGGATTTTAAAGTAGCTGTAATTAAATCTTTACTTAAGAAGCCTTCTCTGGATCCAGATGCCCAATGAAGTATAGACCAACATCTAACCTTCCATTTTTATCCAAAGTCCTGGAGAAAATAGTGGCCATCCAAGTATGTGAGCATTTAAACTCTAATGATCTGTTTGAGGAATTTCAGTCTGGTTTGAGAGAGTATCACAGCACTGAAATTGCATTAGTGAAAGTTACAAATGATATTCTCATGGCCTCAGATAAGAATCTTGTGTCTGTTCTAGTCTTGTTAGATCTCAGTGCTGCCTTTGACACAGTTGATTACAATGTTCTTTTAGAAAGGCTTGAACATGTTGTAGGGATCAAAGGAACAGTGTTAGGCTGGTTTAAATCCTACCTGTCTGATAGATATAATTTTGTAAATGTACATGACAAATCTTCTTCATACTCCCGGGTTACTTGTGGAGTACCACAGGGTTCAGTGCTTGGACCAATTCTTTTTACTATGTATATGCTTCCAATTGGTAAAATCATTAGACAGCATGGGATAAACTTCCACTGTTATGCTGATGATACTCAATTATATCTATCCATTAACCCTGATGAACCTAATCGGTTAGTTAGATTACAGGCTTGTCTTGAAGACATAAAAAATTGGATGACTCTAAACCTTTTGCTTTTAAATCAAGACAAGACTGATGTTCTCATCGTTGGACCTAAAATTCAGAAAACAAAATTGCTTAGTCAATCACCTGACCTGAATGGCATTACATTAGTCTCCGAGAACAACGTAAGGAACCTTGGTGTTATCTTTGACCAGGAATCTTTGACCATGTCATTCAAATCCCACGTTAAACAGGTTTGTAGGATTTCATTTTCCACCTTCGGAATATTGCTAAGAGTAGATGCATCCTTTCTAGGAGTGATGCTGAAAAACTAGTTCATGCATTTATTACATCAAGACTGGATTACTGTAATTCATTACTCTCACAGAATGAGTTCTGATGAGAATTAAAAAGAGAGATCATATCTCTCCTGTCTTAGCTTCCCTACATTGGCTGCCTGTTAAATTCAGAATAGATTTTAAGATCCTCCTTCTCGCATATAAAGCTCTTAACAATCAAGCTCCATCATACATCAGTGAACTGATTGTTCCATATGTTCCTAACCAAGCACTTCACTCTCAGACTACAGGTTTACTGGTGGTTCCCAGAATATCTAAAAATAGAAAGGGAGGCAGATCTTTTAGTTATCAAGCTCCTCCCTTGTGGAACCAACTCCCAACTTTAGTCCGTGAGGCAGACACCTTGTCTACTTTTAAGACTAGGCTTAAAACATTTTTATTTGATAGGGTCTATGGTTAAAATCTGATGTTAGCCTAGATCTGGACAAGTGGGGGAGTAGAGGGAGGTGGAGTGTACAGTAGGTAAAGACGACTCTACCTTGCCCTGCCTCCAACATGCCTCCATCTAACAGGCTAGGTTATCCAGAGTTATCTCTGTAGTTATGCCGCTGCTATAGGCTTAGACTGCTGGAGGACACACTGACCACTTTCCACACTCTACTACTTTCTTCCACAATCTGCTCTTTAACTGTATTATTTCCTGCTACTTCAGCTGTTAACTTTATTTTTTTCTTCAAGAGTCTTTCTCCCCAGAAGAAGCTACAATGATATTCTGCTGAGCTGTGGTAGCCTCATGGAGAGAGCCATAGTCTTGAACACTACTTCTAACCATTTAAATATTCTCCCTCTCCTGATAATAACACTTTACTTACCTTGGATGTGCTACTACTAGTTTACACATTTAATTATAGATTCACTAGGATAAATACAATAAAGTTTATCTTTCACCAAATAGAATATTTACTAAGAAATCACAATGTAACCATAGAAACATTACTTGGGTGTGTGCGTGCGTGTGTGTGTGTGTGTGTGTGTGTGGTGTGTGTGTGTGTGTGTGTGTGTGTGTGTGTGTGTGTGTGTGTGTGCTCTGTCTTCTTGATCCCCAGTGAGTTGTGGCAGATGGCTGCTTATACTGAGCCAGGATCCTCTGGAGGTTTCTTCCTGTTAAAAGGGAGTTTTCCTCTCCACTGTCGCTGCATGATTGCTTAGTATGAGGATTGCTGTAAAGTCATTGACACTAGTCAGTGACTCGATGCAATTTGCTGGGTTCCTTACATAGGAAACTTTTTTCTGATTGGCTTAATGAATTGACTTGTATTGGAATGTTTATTATGTGAAGTGCCTTGAGACGACTTGTCGTGATTTGGCGCTATATAAATAAACTTGAATTGAATTGAGGGGGCATTGCGGTTACAGTCTGTGCATCGCTCCCTGGTCAACTGGATGTCCTTTGACATTCCAGGCCAGTAAATGATGGAGCAGGCCCGTCGTTCCATTGCCGACTTGCCCTGATGGGTGGCATGGAGGTGCTGAAGTACAGTCTAACGAAGGGATGTGGGGACAACAACGCGGTCGTAATACAGCAGGACCCCATCTTGCACGTACACTGACTCATGGACCTTGGACAGGTCGGCCAGCACCGGGTCCTTTGGGTCATTGTTGCCCCCATCCTCAATGAGGTGCAGGAGGTGGGAGAGGCATGCATCCGCGGCCGTCTCCTGAGCGAGGAGGGGCCATGCAATGGCAGCAGACTCCTGTGCGTCGCTGCAAATAGACGCCATATGCACTGACTCCTCGCTATCAGTCACGTTCCATGCGCCTATGCAGCGGCCCTCATCCGAGCCAGAAGGCGAAGGATATCTGGGGGCGGCATTGGCAGTGCAGCTGCTCTTGCCAGGCAAGTGCACAATGTCAAAGCACCATGGGAGTGTGCGCTGTTTGAGCCTGAACAGGCGAGACTTAGTTACCTCATCCAATGTCTGGTCCCCAAGGATCTTCACCAGGGGATTATGGTTGGTGACCACAACCAGGTTGTCACACCCCTGCATGAAATATCTGGTCTGTTCCAGACCCCATGCTACTGCCAAGGCCTCCCCCTCAATAGCGGCGTATCGCTGCTCAGCAGAGGAGAGAAAGCGCGAGCCGGCCAGAGTAATTTTCCATCCATCAGGACAGCAGCCCGGGAAACCAGAGTTGCAGGTGCAGTGCTGCTGGAGGAGGAAGTATCCAATGCCGCTCCTGGACCAGTCTGGGTGGAGGCAAGTGCGCCTCTCCATGTCGTAGATCTCTACACCTGCCCGGATCGAGTCCACGATGGCCAGCTCAGATTCCTGAAAGACTTCCTCTAACTCGGTCAACCACACAAATTTGCATCGAGGGCTCAGAAAGGGCTTAAATGGTGCCATTATATCGCGCAGCTGTGCGTAGTTGGCCACCTGATTAGCCAGACCAAACCAGCTCCTGATGTCCGTGGTCAAGGTAGGCATGGGGAAGTCCCTGATGGCCGTCAGATACTTTGGGAGGGGCTCAATAATAGCATCGGAGACCCTAAAACCGGCAAAATCATCGTCCCTCTCAGCAAATTGAAACTTGGATGGGTTCAAAACAATGTCGGATTGGCCAACGTGGGTCAGGAGGTCGATTGTTCTCCACCAATGCGTATTTAGGTTGGTGTCATAGTGGATGGTGTCCTCCACGCGCCTTTCCTTCCGCTCAAAGTCTGAGAGGATTGCATCAAAGCAGCGATTGTAGCCATCGCCAGATGACAGGAAGCACTGCGGGGCTCTGGTGTAACGCCAGCGGCCGAAAGGAGTGATGAAGCTAGTGAGATGACGGTCTGACTCACGCAGGGGCACACTGTGATACCCGTTCCAGGCAGTCTTCCAGTTCAGTGACATTCTTCCAGGTCCCTTTCGGGATCCGGCGCGCCAGGTGAAATGGGGGCTCAGTGGCGAAAGTCTCATGCTTGCAGAACTTGTCTGGTGAGGTGAGATATCGACGGTCTTACGGGGGGTTCCGTCGTGCTTCCGGGTGACCACAATCTGGTGGCACCAGGTCACTGGTTCGCCATACGGGACACGTTCGATGACGTCCAGGGCCTCTTCTCGAAGTGGGTTGTCGTGCACTCTCTGTTGCCTATGCAGAGGCATGGCCGCCACGATGTGGCACGTCTTTGGCGTTACCGCCGGGTCAACGTGTATCTCTGTGGGTCGACCTTCCATGCATGGCAGTGACCGATGGGGGCAAGTGTTGAACGTTAAGGACTCGTACCTGTCAAGCAGCCACGCCTTCATCCAGTGATTTTTTTCTGGGGTTGCATGGGAACAGCAGCTCCGCTGGGCGCGAAGGCGGGGTGCTGCATTGAGGACATGAGCAATGTGATGGGAAGTCATGCCTCCGTCACAGACTTCCGCGGGGCACGTTGCTTCGGAGAGCCCACCACAACTGCTGGCGGCTTCAGGGTCATGGCCCACTGCAGGGCCGGTCTCACCCGTGCAGGATGGAAACCCACTAGGCAGCAGGTCGAGGCTGTGCAGGGAGTCATACGAGAGGTACATCGTGTACCTTCTAACATATATCATTGCGCGGCAGGACGCTCTGGTTGGAGAACAGAGAAACACATAAATCTGAGTCTGGTTCTTGTGCTGCAGGAGCATCATGAAGCTCAACTCAGCTTTATTTATTAACAGAAATACCATTTTTCAAAGATCATTACAGAACATATATAATCATAACAGAATTATGAAATTTCAAAGGAATTAAATCACATGGAAAAGACAATTAGTAGAGAAATCAAATAAAAAGGTGAAAAAACAACAAGGTAAACAAACATGCTTAAAAAAGCAATAAATAAATTAATAAAGCCACAATTTCAGAAGATCTCTTTGAAGATTTCTGTTTAAAATAAAATAGTTGAGAAATGTGAATTTGTACTTTTTACTCAGATTTGGGGCTCATGCACAAAACATCAGAGCTGTAAGAAGATCTCAGTTTTCATGGTAAGATTTAATGTTTAATTTGCATTTTCTAACCACAAAACAGCGACATCTGCTGGTCAGAACACCACATTTAAAACAAAATGACGATTAAAGGGCTGATCAAATCCATTTTATTCCTATTTTCAGATGCAGACAGACATTACAGTAATCTTTTAAAATTATCTTACTCAATGTTTCTTCAGACTTAGAGGTTTCATTTTTCTTTTCGTTTTTCAGAATCAGCTTTATTTGCAGCTTACTGTTCAGTATAGTTTCCCCTCAAAACTTAAAAGTACTAACTTACCTCACCCTTTTCAGAGTTTCAGACCACTTTTTGTGTCTTAATCCTTTTCACAAGTGCTTTCCTCCTGAATACTTCACTTCATCCACCTTTTCACCAAGTTGCTCCTTAAAGTCCAGTTTGTGGACCACTCTGAAGGCCTCCAAGAACTCAGTGAAGTCAATACTACCATCTTTGTTGAAGTCAATACTGCGGGCCAGGTCATCAATGGCTGTATCGTCAATATCAATCCCAAGGTGAGTGCTGAAAAGGCGCCAGGTGTGGCGAAATTCCTCAGTGGAGATCAGACCTTAGCACAGCAACATCAATCATCCATTTAATCCAGCATTTCCACAATTGAAACTTTGTTTTTGAACATACTATTGCTAACCTGAATGATCTTTGTCTATGATGTTGAAAATGATCTCTATGTCCGTCCTGTACCTGAACACAGTTTCAGCCAAATTTGGAGCGACCTAAATAAAAACAGGGAAAGAGGAGGAAAAAAGACCTTCAGGTTGTAAATAACCTGACTGAATTTGTCAGTAGCATAGGGTATGACAGTGATGTTTCTCATGGGAAATTTCATATTTTGAGAAAGATAAAAGAAAGTGGCTGAAATAAAAAATCTGGACTCCTGTTGACAGCTTGATCACAGTTTTAAAACAATCTATTAGAGTAAAAGGATGCTCCACCTGTTTCCCTCTGACCTGAGGCAGAGGAACTCCTGGCCCCATGTCCTCAAAGCAGGACTGATACTCAATGCTGCCATCTGGTGTCAGGCGAGCTAAATGTGGTCGAAGTGTCCTCCAGGGCAGATCCAGTCTCAGAATGGCCTCCAGCACCTGAGCCCATTCACTGACTGTAATGCTACCTGTAGACAAAGATGTGTGCAGGTGACAGATCATTTGCTGCTGTGGCCCCCAGACTCTGGAACTCTCTCCCCCTGAGCCTGACATCAGTGGACTCAGTGGTCTCCTTTAAAAAAGCAGCTGAAGACTCACTTGTTCAAGCTGGCTTTTGTATGACCTTCTTCACCACTCTCTCTTTATTCTGCTCTCCCCACCTATTCCACCTTCCTCAGGATCCACTGTTTTCCCTCTTTCCTATTCACTCTCTCTCTTTCTTAACATTTTTTTCTTTTAAATCGCAATTGCATATTTTTGCTCATTTTAAATATATTTTTAAACATTTTCTAAATGCTTTTTTTTATATTTTTACATTATTTTTATTTTTTGTTTTTGTGAAGCGCCTCGTGATTTTTATCTTGAGAGGCGCTATAGAAATGATATCTTCTTCTTCTTCTTCTTCTTCTTCTTCTTCTTCTTCTTCTTCTTCTTCTCTATGTGACACATACGGATGCTAAAGATGATGAAGTTCTGTTGGTGAGTAAAATAACTTTACCAGCGTCACTCTGGTCAAACTGCTGGAAGCCCGTCATCAGCTCTGATCGATGAGCGAACAGCTTCTCCTTTAACGCCCTGAGAGCAGAACCTTCTGCTGCTTGGACTCTGCAGAAACAAACAGAAATCAAACCTAGAACATAGTTTGTCCACAATAATTAGGCAGAGAATGTACAGTACCTCTGTGTTAAGGTAAGCTTGCGTGTTGTGCGGCTGACTTGGTACTGGTAGAAGCGAGGAACCAGTTCTCTACCCAGTTTGATGTATGCGCCACGGTTGCTTCCAACTTCATAATAGTTTGAAGCAGAGAAGATGGTGATCACCTGAACATAAATCAAACATTTTTCTGTAAATGTTCCTTCGACTTGAGGGCTGTTTTTGGGAAAATTCCCTACCTGTCCGTCATGACAGAGTTCATATCCCTCTTGCTTGCACTCATGAGAGCGGATAAGCAGCTGCAGGCCGTGTTGCAGCAGCAGTCTTTTAGTGACATCAGGACCGAAGTAGCAGCCTCCGCCTCTGAAAGTGTTGGGGCTGCAGCCCTCTTGGGTTTTAGGGTCACTCCATAATATATCCACAATCTGTTAAAGAACAATGTCAGAAATACTGAACACGTTGGTATGTTTATTACTGAATTCTCTCCTTTCACCTGTTTCCACTCCTGTTCATGCTGTGGAGGTGATGGAAGGGGAACAGAGGACAAGGAGTCCAAGAAAGGCACTTGGAGGACACTGTGAGGCATTCTGGGAGAAGGAGGACATGGGCGAGGTGAGAGGGAGGAAGGAGTTCTTGGAGAGCAGAGCGAAGAAGAGGATGACAACGACGAGGATGAGGAGGAAGTGGAGGCAGCGCTGTCTTGTGAACTCAGTCCACATCTTCTTTTTCTGAAATCAGGTAAGTAAATTTCTATTTAGGTAGAAGAGATTCTCTCCTTAAACTAAAACTCTGATAAATTGCACCTGATTTAAAGAAAAATCTGTTGGTGTCAGCTAGTTTTTATACCTCTGTCTGGGGCTTCTTTGGCTCTCGTTGTAGCTGTGGCTGCTGCCGGAACGAGGGCTGTCAGTCGATCTCATTCTTTTGGCCAGTCTGTATGACCTTCCGATGTCCAGCTGCTCCAAGCTGCATCTGGGAAATCTCAGGGCAGATTTTACCTGAGGAAGCAGAGAAAATGCAACACAAACAACAAATGTCACAGCTCAACTCAAGTAGTTTGGAATAGTAAAATAAATGATGTTGTCAGTGTAGTCAGACGGCATTAACATAAGGATCCTTTCTTATAAATTGTGTTTCTATGACTGTATTGTCCCATCTGTTTAACATTGCGTGGATCAAGAAACTCTGACAAAGACTGATGCAGAAAAACCAGTCCCTGAAGTACAAGAAGGATACAAGTTTGGAGGAGAGATCAGATGTCTGCAATTTTAGAATCGCTTCACTGGCTTCCTGGAAAATTCAGAAATTTACCTCTAACATGAACCTTTGAAGGATGAAGCTTCATCTTGTATTAAAGGTCTTAAAATGCTTCTCTCTCAGTTTACCCGTGGCTCCATGAGTCTCTAAAAGTAAAACTGAAGGCAGAGCTTTCATTTATCAGGCTCATCTCTAGAGGAACCAGCGCAGCATTTCCCTCCACCAGGCAGATGCTCTCTGAGTTCAAGGCTCAAGACTTTCCACTGCGATAAATTCTATATCTAGGATTAGATTGGATTATCCTGACTCATCCTTGTTCTGTTATCTGTTCTCTTGGATCCCACGTACTCGAGGCAAATGACCTGGTTATGTCCACTGACCTTGTACCTTTCTACGGAACTCAGAAATTCCAGATCAGTCTGGTCTGAAATCCCTCCGTGCACGATCAGGATCTTTCCATCAATAACTGTTGCGATGGGCAAAAGGCTGAAAACATCCTGAAAAAGCTGGAGGATCTCATGGCCGTAGGTCTGCACACAGTTGATAACAAATGTATGTTGGCTCATTTCACACAGATCCATCTAAACCAGCCTCCAGTGACAAAAGTAGAAGGACACCGTGTTTCTGGAGTTCACCTTGTACTTCAGCATGACTTCTTTTGTGAAACCATATCTGCAAAACAAGAAAATCATAAAGAAGATATATTTCATTTTCCTTTCATTCCATTTTTTTCTCCAGCTCACCTCAGGTTCATTATGTGGTCTTCGTGGTTTCCTCGGTTGAGGTGCATGTGGTCGGGGTAAAGCAGAAGGTAAGCGAACAGAAGAGTGACTACTTCAACAGACTTTTTCCCACGATCCACAAAGTCCCCGTTGAACAAATATGGCGTCTCAGCAGAAGGAAGTCCATTCTGAACAGCAGACACCAAAAATGTAATCTTAAATTTTCATTCAACTTTGACAGTTCTTGTATTTATGCTAAACTGGATGCAATCATTTAAACTATTTTGCTTAGAGTAAATAACTGGACTCTACCTTATAAAATATGAGGAGGAGGTCATCAAGCCGGCCGTGCAGATCACCTGTATGAAGACATTTGGGGAAAATGACTTCAAAGATCTAAAGTCACTTGCAAACAAAACCCTACTTCAGTGTGTGTGTGTGTGTGTGTGTGTGTGTGTGTGTGTGTGTGTGTGTGTGAGAGAGAGAAACAGTCATTCTTCGGTTTAATGAGATTCAAGTTGGAATGAGGAGGCAGCTGTGGAGAAGTCAAGAGCCTGATCAGTGTGCAAATAAGCTGTGTCTTCTTTTCTTGGGTGGCTGCCATTAAGATACAGTCAGCTGGACTTCATACACATTCAATGACATTAGTGAACATTTAATCAGTGAACAGCTCACTCTTGTATTCAGCGATCCCACTCAGCAGCATCAAACCCTCATAGCAAACCTGAACGAGGAGCTTGATCTTGAACAGACCGGTGGATTAAGTCTACTCACCACATATGGTGATCTCCTTAGTGTAGGACGTTGACAAGTGGACAATATTTGGCATCTGTTTGAGAAGTTTTTTGGTTTCATTCAGCAGCTGCAGGACATACTTGGCATGTAGAATCTGTTCAGAAAAAAAATCCCCAGATTTTAAGGAGACCAACACAATTAGAACTTAGAAAGAGGGATGTATCTTGTTTTTCACCTGCTGCTCCTTAAAAGCACTGAGGAGGGCAGCGGTATCAGAGACGGTGAGGGGGAAGGAAATCCGGGGCCCTGTGTAAGACTCGGGGACGGAAATCAGATTGTAGCAGGTCTCTCTGTCCAACCAGGGGTCAACTACCGGGTCCAGCAACTGCGAGATCAGGTCTGCAGAACATGTGTGGAGCTGTGTCAAAACTCACTTTCCTTTGAAAATGACCTTAATGTCCAGCAATGTGTCCTTCCTGCTTTAAATTCAAAACCAATCTGTGACAGATGTCACAACTGCAAAAACAGAAGGACACAAACATCATGAAAGTTTTTAAATCCTTATGGTAAACCGACTTGATTAAGAAAATATATTCCATATAATAACAGGTTATTGATTGACATGAATAGAGATGTCTGTTTAAGGTTAAACCAATCTGTTAGGCAAATAACAAATTTAAATGTCGTTTTGGATTAAGTTTTTATTTTTAAAATTAAAATCATAGCCTCAAGAGAAAAATGCATTTTATTGGCTTATACTATAAACAAGACTGTGTCCCTAGACTTTGTGGGTGACTTACTTCCAGGCTGCGTTGGAGGTCAAATATTTAATAAGGGTCTTGGGTCCTGGGAAATAACATAATTATACTAATTTTTCTAATGATTAGCACACATTTTACTTCTCTGTTTTAGATAAATAGGGAAACGTCAATATTTGTGGTGTCCTGGTTTGGATTAAAGGAATTAATCATAAAATTGAAGGTTTTCACAGTTTCAAAATTGAAACCCTCAGCTTTAGAAGGATGTTTAAACAAAGCCTTGGACCTGAATAGATTAGAAGACAATGAACCAGAAAAGGCCTGTACCAAAACATTAACCCAGATAATAGTGTTTAATTCATCGTTTCTGATAACAAACAGCTTGGCACTGCTTCATATCCAGCTCTTTGTGCCATGAAGGCTCTCAAAAATGCTAATGGGAAATGATGGGCTCTCAGTTTTGCAAGTGAAGAACAGGCGTCTATATCTACAGACCTGTTTGCCTTTTTTCTATTGTCAACGTCCCCCTGGAGTCTCTCTCTCTCTCTCTCTCTCTCTCTCTCTCTCTCTCATTCACACACACACACACACACACACACACACACACACACACACACACACACACACACACACACACACACACACACACACACACACACACACACACACACACACACACACACACACACACACACACACACACACCTACATGAACAGGCAGATGACAGAATCTGCTGTTCGGCATCCAACACTGGCATCACGGTTTGCATGCTGACCCCAATTAAAACCCATGAAGAAGACAATCAGCAGACGACGATCAGCAATAAGGCTGAAAACAGGATCAGTCTATAAATGCGGCTGAATGCTGTTACATGGATGAGTAAATCAACACACACTTAAAACACACATGTGTCAGTGCTACACACCAATACACTAGATTTCACTCTCATGGTTGTTGCTAAGCAACACGGCATATGCAATGTGTCTGCCTGTCTGTATAAAAAATATAGGGGAAAAAATGTTAATTGAAGTAAAAAAAACATTTTTTTTAACTTATGCAAAAGTCAGTGTAGAAATATTTGTTGCAGAAGAATCTCCATTAGTACACGCAGATCCGAGCTTTATTTTACTCTAAAATAAAACCTCAGTTACCTTAACCCTCACTTAGAATAAAATCACCTTTCTGTAATCTTGATATTTAATAGTAATAGTGATGCTCCTGACCTGGCCCATTTCCATTTAGCTGAGTGAAGTTATCCAGCATGTAGGTGAAGAAACTAGAAAGCTGAGAAGTCAAGATAAAAGAGGAAGTAGATGCTTAAAAACGAATCAGAGTATTTATGTTTTGAAGAAGAATAAAAATCTTGAGAGACACCTGTAGCTGCTCCTGTTCCCCAGCGTATTCGATGGACTGGAAGATGTTCCAGGTGTACCTGCGTCTCATCTCTAGTCGGGCCATGTACCGCCGGTACCAGCGTTGGATCAAAACAGCTGCTTTCATCGCTGCAGCAGAATACCAGATGTTATCGTTTTACAACTGAGGAAACATCTAATATCCAAAATCACACGCCAGATGTTGTCAGTTAGACTCAGCACACAACTCTGCAGCTGTTCTCAAGCACAACTGGTACTAGAATAACATAAAAGTCACATGAATGTATGTATAACCAGGTTTTCACACACAGATGCACATGAGTCACAGACTGATCTATAAATAAGAGCAGAGGCTTACTCAGAGCTGGACTGGGACTCCTAACCGCCTCATCTGAGAGAAGAAATACTACGAGTCAGCATGAGAATCTAATAAATAGATCACACACACACACACACACACACACACACACACACACACACACACACACACACACACACACACACACACACACACACACACACATCGAGGGTGATAACAAGACACAAGGAAGGTTCTGGGCAGCAGTGGGACTGGAAAAACTAAGCAAATGAAACAGGCCTCTGGGATTAAAAGCACTCATTACAGAGAAGAGAGAAGACAAGCTGTAAAGAGAAAAAACTACCATCTGTCAAACATCTGTGTGTGTGTGTGTGTGTGTGTGTGTGTGTGTGTGTGTGTGTGTGTGTGTGTGTGTGTCTGTGTGTTTGTGTGCGTCTGTGTGTTTGTGTGTATGCATGTGTGCTTGTGCATGAGCAACAGTGAAAGAAATTAGTAACACTGAACAGTAAAAGTAGCACCTTGGTTTTTGGGAGAGAAATATATAAGATCCAGCACTGGCCCAAGCCTTTGTGGGGCTCTAAGCAGGTTTTGCTTTGGGGCCCCCATTCAAGTCCACACCAGATGATTCATCACTCTTAGGCTTCACTGTGTGCATAACACACCTAGTTTCAATAACAACCTTTGCATTCAGATTACATAATGCAGTGATACTATAGCTATTGATATCAACCTTACATTAGTTGCAAAGCAACACAAATGCTCTAATTAATTAGCATTTTGAAATGCAGAATATTGTTTCAATGTGATTTATTAACTCAACTATTTGAAGGTAACATTAGTAAACAAACACTGAATTAGCAGTAAACAAGTTTTTAACATTTAAAAAATAAAACCAAATGACAACATATGACACAAAAGTCACCCTATAAAAGTCAATTATGTTTCCATGTGTGATATAATTTCATTTGTTTTAAAAGTTTTTAAAACATATTTTTCACATTCTTTAATAGCCCCCCCCCCACCCCCCCACCCCAACACCCAGTGGTATGGGAGGCAACTCGCTCATGCCTAGGCCGGCTCTGTGGAAGGTCTATAATCTTTCAGGTGAAGTTATGGTCTTTTCCTCTGAACTCTGAAGTGTAGCAAACAAAAGAATGTTGGTAAAAGAATTGCAGCGGACACGGTTCAGAATCTGCTGCTAAATCATTTTAACCTTTGGGAGTCTACATTTCCTAAATGAAGGGAAGTTTAGCCAGAGTCCTGGCAGCTGATATTGAGACATACCGGAGTGCTTTGCATTGCGGTGATGAGTTTTCTAGCGTTTTGTGCAATGACACCCCAACATTTGGGATTACTGGGGTTTTATTTTCATTTTTCATGTAAAAATAAACATGATGATAGTGAGTATAAGAACAAAACATCCCTGGAGGTTGTACTGGCCACTCAGTTACATCCCATCTCATTGATTATTCTTTAAACATCCATTTAGGAGGTGTGTTTTAGGTGATTATGCTGCTGTGGGATGAAATGTGTTCAAATCAAAGTGCTGTCCACAGGATGGGGCGTGTTCCCACATCAAATGTTCTTTCTTTACACACAACAGCAGACTGACAAGTCGCCAGTGAGAATTACAGTTCTCACCCCGTGAAACCATAAATGAGCAAAATTTAAAGTCTAAGCTGTCAGCCAGACTCCTGGCTGCTTTGGGGGAACGGGGATAGTTTAGATGCTTCAGGAATCAAATGGTAAAAAAATCTCATCAGCATAGTTGACTAGGAGCTGAACAAATGCATATCTGCAGGCTGGAATCACAGTGAATGTGTCTATTTATTAAAATAGAGAAGTTTGAAATTAAAATATGATCTTTTTTTATTCTAATCAGACAAATTTAATGGTATGAGTTTCCATGCAGTCTAAAACCTTTGAGATGAAATGTATCATATAGTGATGTTTGTGAAATGTGTGGACTGCTTTGTGTATATTTAGTGTGTGGCAGCAAGTATAAAATAATTATTGATGATTACAGATGAGCCCACCTCTTTGCAAATAGCTGATTGTTTAGGCTATTAAATAAATAAAAAACTCAAGGTGATCAGTAATTGTTATAATCTTATTTCATGCCATTTTAGAGCTGGGGAACACAAATCCAACTTATACAAAAGCAATAAAGGCTGTACTTTAACTTCTATGGCAGGAATGATTCATTTAAGCTTTGTTTAGATTTGAATCTGGTCAAAAGTTCTGACAAGAAAATGTGTAAAAACTCTCAGAGAAAACAAACACCAGCATGAATTTATATGTTCGAAACGCCACCATCACTCACAGGGAACAGCTTCAAGCACTTATACTCAGTAAAATGACATGCAAACATATGTCTCATAACGAGTTTGGAAACAAGAATAAGAGACGGGGATGTTGGCACATTTTTCACATGTCTGATAGCTAAAGATCAATCCTCAGCAGTTGCACCTCATTGTAAAGGTGACTTGAAGTTATTTTCAATCTCTTTGACCAGATCATAAACTAAAATAACTTGAAAAGTTTTCAAATAAAACTAATCCTGTAGGTTTCTCTAAACATCTCTGCAGGCCTTCCTTTCTATAATTAAACATCTCATTTCACACTTCATTCACTTCACTAAAAGACTGAAAGAAAAAAACAAACAAGTCTTGCAACAGATTACCAAAACAGCAGCTAAATCTATCTTGGGTTTTCTAAATAAACATCTTTACCTGTTTCCAGTCTCTTCACTTGCGTTTCCGTAGCAACAGAGGTGCCACATCCCATGATGATCAGCAAGGAGAACCAGGGCTCACATTATTATTTCTTTATAAAGGGATTCACATTTAGACAGTGGGATGTGGCAAGAGGGAAATGACGAGTCTGCTGTGATCTGGGAGGGATATCTGGTGTCAGAGTTCTGCAAACCTGCGCAAGTTTCACACAGAAACATCAAGTTATTGATCTCTGAACCTGCTCGCATTTTGCACCAGAAAAATACAAAGCTGTTGTCGGGTTATTTAGTTGTTAGAAAATAAATTATTTACCTTTATTGTGTATCCATCTTCATGCTCTCAAACAGTCCACTGAAAGTGTTTGATGTGCTTCGAGCATGGCAGCTCAGCCGATCTTACATGGAGCGTTAAAATCCGCTCGAAGCTCCGAGAAGCACGCGCACTGTGTGCGCAAACATCCAAAGTTCTGCACCCTGTTTCGAGGAATGTATTTATGTTGAGGGGAAAATGTGAATGAGTCTTTTGAAACATGCCGGAGAGAAGGAGGAGGACAGAAGGCAGCTGCAGAGGAAGAGAGGCACCGTCATCATCATCATCATCTACAGGTTGATTCAACCCTTTACCGCAGAGCCGCTGCGCACTTCTGGATTGATGGCATGTTTCCCTAAAATGCCATCTAAGTCGCTTAATTTAAAAATAATTCTCGGAAATAGTGTCGGGTTTTTTATTTCTTGGCAGATGATCCCGCGTGTGATTAGATAATAATCGTGTCAGATTTTTATACAGATCTTTGCAAATATTTGGTTTGTTATTGGAAATAAAATGTTTTAAAATGCTAGCCTGGCCAGGCAGACTCAATTCTACACAGAACTGTTATGGGCTGGCTACCCAGGGTATTTAAAAGCTTCAGTTTATGCTGCACAGTGTTGCCGCTAGAAGGCGCGATCAAGCCAAAAATGGAATCCGATGTGATAAAAATAAAATTAAATCTAAGGGCGAAGGAGAACAGTAAACAGCAGCTTTTACTACATTTACCCCAAATTTGAAGGAACTGAGACAAATAAAAAAAATCTGCCTTTTCTCAAGTTTGAGTTAATGTCCTATATTCCTAATGATTAAGTGGAAATGACAAGTTAGCTCCAAAAATAGAAACTAGATTTGGTTTTTGCTTATTGGGCAACAAATATACCTTTAGTCAAGTGTTTAATTATTTTTCTTTAAAACTAAGATATGCCATTAGAGTTTTTGGAATGATTCCCCAACAGATGCTGTAGCATCCAAGAGCAAAAAGCTAAATTGGGTATTAAGGAAAAAATAGATTTACCCATGTTTGTCTTCATCCTGTTGGATAAATCACAGCCATTGTTAGCCATCCAGAGACTGATTAAAATCTTAAGCTTTATTCACAAATAAAAGACAAAGTTCAGCACAAGTCCATTTTTTTCATGCAGCTACTTTTGAAGTAATCCTCTTCTGTACGAGTGCAACGGCAGCTTCCATCTCCTGCAGAGTGATCACTTTCAGCCTGTTGGTCTTTGACAGTCGAGAAGCCTCCAGGAACACCAGTCTGAGCAGAACTGGTTTGGGAAAACAGAGACATCGACTGTTTAGGAAGTCTGGACCCGTCATCCTACCCTGACTCTGTGAGACAAAGCAAGAAAGAGAACTTTAGATTTATGAGACTTTTAAAACACAGGCCAGATGTGAAACAATCATTCCTGACCTCCTTCTGGGCTCTGTAGATGAGAGAGGAGTGACCTTGAATTCTCCTCTTCTTTGGAGGAATCCTGTGTGCTGCTTGAGGAGGTGCCTTCATTTTTATTAACCAGAAAGAGTAAAACTTACCAATAGCATTACATACAGCTAGCAACCAAAACAGCTGGAGAAGTGTTTATTCTTCTTCTTCTTCTTATTCTTCTTCTTCTTCTGGTTTAACTGGAGGTGTGTGCAGGGGGGCACAGAAAAGGAGGTTTTAATGAACGCAAATTGAAAACAGCTTTGCTTAATTAGGCTTAATTACGTTCACCCACCTGGCTGTAAAGCCCTCATTGGAGGTTCAGGATCCAGCTGCAGGAGAGAAGTCAGGCGCAAATAAAAACAGCAACATGAGGTCGCATCATTAAACTTTCCCATTTTGCTGTTGTTTTTTTTAGTGTGGACGGTGTGTTGTTGGTCTCGCTGTTACAAAGATCCAAATCATAAACAGAAGCGTTTCTCCCTGTGATTTGTTTATAACAATCTTTCTATACATTTCAGACATGCAAACTTACTTTTAAACCAATGAAGCATCAATGTTGAGAATCCTTCCAAACATCTGTTAGTTTAAAATCTCAGTTTTTCAGTTAGGGAGTTAGCCTGGCAAGCCCGACTAAATAAATATACTATTTATCTTTGCAAAGAAATAATTTGGTCTAGTTCACTAGGCCATTAGAGAGTTGCATTATAGTAAATATTTGGTGACAATTTCTTTTCAAAATAAATGCATTTGAGTTTCAGGCAACTCACAAGCCCAAAACAATACGGCTCAGGTCCGCTTGTCTCCTCCAAATAGACTTAGTCCCTTTCTTCTCGATCGCCTGGGTAAGGAGGGGTAGAAAAGTCCTCCACTTCTAATGACTGCTCAGAGTGGAAAAAGCTAGCTTCGCCACATTACCCATCCGTCTTTGTCACTGCTGCAGCTCCGCCCTCTTGGTCCACCAGGCAACATCTAATGTTGCATTTTTTTTTTAATTGAGATATGGGTGGAGAAGAACTCTGGGGCAGGGTTGACAAACACTTTAATTTTAACCGTCAACGTGACTAATGATGACTTGACTCTGATCTAATAGTAGTTTAGCAGCGATTTTGGTTTTTAGGACCGATACTGATTTCTGACTTTTACCGTAATCCTAATAAAACTGTCAGGTAGGTATGGACGATGAATGAATGGATGGATGAATGAATCCCATGTTATCATCAAAGCCTATATGGATCTCAAGGCCCAGCATCACCAACCTTCAATCCCATTCTGTTCCATAAACATCCTGTTTGCTCACAGGTATGATCCTTGTGACGGCTCTGTGATTTCCAGTGATGCTGTTGATGGTGAACAGCTGTAGGAGGGGCTTTGTCTGATAAGGCTGGTATTAGGTAAGGCCATTAGTGCCCTGTGGATTATTGTAATCCGGTCTCTCTTCTCTCTATTGGCTAAGTTGCTCACTCTTCCGTGGATCCCATCTGGTTTGGAGCAGGCTGGAAGATGGCTTTCAACATGCAGCCTTCCCTGCTAGTTCTCCTTCTTCTGGGAGTTGATGGTAGGAATCCTGAAAACTTGACATTAAGTCAGCTGCTGACTCAAGTCTTAGATTTTGAATGATGAAGTCAAAATCAATTTTAGTTACCTTTTCTTTTCAACGTTTTCAGCAATCAAATAACTTCTGTGTGTTCATTTATTTAAAATGTTCCAGAGCTGGTTAAACTAACAGATGGATAAACACATCTTATTTTCAGAATGAGTGACTCTTGTGTCCTAACAGTCTGTTTTCTCCTCTCTTCTGTTTCTCCTTGATGGATTTCTGCCCCATGACCATCTGGCTTTTCAGTGTTCATCAGCATTCAAGCTCAAGAGGTATGAAGAGTCCTCAGCAACACCATGAAGTGGTTATGGTTTTAGAATTGACGGACGTTTAAATTTGCATTGGTTATTTTTAATGAACAAACACAGAAGTAAGCATTCGACACTGATCGGTACATGACATTCTCCCTAAATGAAACACTGCTGGAACAAGGAAACAAAAAACAAAGTAGTCTGACCATTTTTTTACATAATCTTTTTATTGTTTGTTTATTTTAAAATGTGACTTTAGATATTAAAATTATTTTACAGTGATACAGTTAAGATAGCCTTTTCCCAGATTTTTTGTTTTGTTTCTGTACACGAGGCCGGCGTGTCTGAGCCATGGAACAGCAAGTCCTGCAAATGCGACTGTGAAGGAGGAGAATCCCCAACGACGTTCCCCTACCTTGGATCTAGCCCGATGGTCAAAAGAGGGGAGTGTATGCCAGGTGGGAGCTTTATCACAGGATAACTTTTTTTATTCAACAGTTTTATTTAAAATGTTCCAGAGCTGGTTAAACTAACAGATGGGTAAACACATTTTATTTTCAGAATGAGTGACTCTTGTGTCCTAACAGATCTGAAAACATACAATTGTGCGTTTTATATAAGACAAGAATCCAAGTGGAAAGTTTTACAAGCTGATCCTGTGGCTGAGGTTTTTGCATGTAAACTCTAAGATGCAGATAGGTGAGTTTTTCTGCACAAATTAGGCTCCAGATTTGGCACCACAGGGTGGGCATGCTCCACTGAACTTCCTCTGAGAAGGTGACACAGATGGAGCCACAGAAAGACAAAGAAACAACCTCAGCTAGAGCTGCAGCATCATCTGATTTTACTGTTACACTGGTTTTCTTAAAACGAGAAGAAACATGTACAAACAATTTCTTCATTGAAAGCATGTTGTTTTCGTTTGTCTTTAACAATAAGAAATCGTTTTGAGGTTTAGGTTCCCAATAAATCCTTCACATTTTTTATTATAGGCTTCCTGCAAATCAAAGAACCAACATTAAGGAATGATGAAAGCCCCAGGGCTCCTCAAATCCATCAGATTTGAATCATAACAGGTTTTCTGAAGAGAAGAATGTGAATAATTGTCTTTCTGCTGAGCTGCAAATTGCATGGAAACCAGTGACAAGTTCAGCAGATAATCACTGTGTCAGAGTATGATGCACATATTATAGGAGTCCTAATAGACTGTGCTGATCACAGAAATGACAGAAACCTGTTATTACCTCAACACAGAGCTGGTGATGATGAATGATGAGTGAGAAGGGCGCTGTGTTGCATTAGACACATTTCCTCAACCATTCTGTCTCGTTGCTTGTTTTTACCCCCATCATTCAGCTTATTTTATTGAGGAAGTACATTAGGAAGGTCTACAGCGCTATACACATTACTGTTATGTAAACACTTATCTTCTGACTCACACAGATGCTTCTGTTGCAAGCATCGTAACACTGGGATTAAACCGGTTGCAGCCTTTTGCCAGAAAGGTAAACAAAGAGCAGACAGCTACTTCCGCTGCTCTTCCTTTTGAAACAGATTTTCATTCATGTCCACTTTCCCCTCTCATTCATGTGGGGAGCCGGACAGGAAAAGAGCGACTTAAAACACAAAGCTACTGTCATGGATCATGACCATCTGCCTCCTCTAAAGGGCAGCACTGATCTCTCACTTAAAAGTTAAGCTGCAGGCTTTTAGGACAGGATCTGGGTCGCATTTGGGCTGCAGGGGTCTGCAGAGCCAGAGGGTCTGGTTGGAATCAGCGGGAAAAGGGAACATCGGAGAGGATAAAGAATTAAAATTCCAAAGGGGCTTTATGAGGTTCGCTGATGTGGCTTACTGATTATCACCCTTCACTTAAAGGCATAAGGTGGGTGATAATGTTTTTGCCTGTGTCGGAATATGCACGTGTGTGTGCACGAGCTTGTTTGTCTGTTTGTTAACGTTAAATCACATCATCATGAACCACTAGACAGATTTTTAGTGAAACTCTCGGAAAGTCTCTACTGGGTATGCATCTACAGTTAAAGTGACTTTTGGAGTCAACCCAATTCAAGATGACTGCCACAGCCGACTGACATTAGCAAAATTGTTTTAAATTCCATCCATCCAATCCAAGGACACCTTCAAAGCCACACTAAATAAGTTTCCCTGCTTCTCACTCCTATTGGTTAAAAGCAGAATTACAACTGTCATAAACAACCCTGCCACAGTCTGCTGTAGCACGAACAGAGCTAATGCTAATACGAGCCAACAGATTCTAAAATAAGCCACAAAGTAAAAAGAGCCACACCGTTGAACAACAAAATAGTGTTATTTAAAAGTCCAGTAAACAAGACACCATCAGTCTGTTATTTTATAGCCTCCTTTAGGGCCCTCAGACTACTCTAGGCCATACACACGGTACGCTAGGCAGATGTTCACTCTGATTTTATCTTTTGATTTGCCTCCAAAGACAATACTCTCTTATTTCCAGTCTCCACCATGATGCCAACAAAAAAATCATTTATTTTCTTTTTCTTCTTCTTGTGCCTTCTATTGACGGTCAATGAACTGAAAAAGCTAACTGCAACAGGCCTTGTATTAGCTACCGGCAGAGTAAAGTGCTAACATCCACAAAGCAGGTAGAAGCCTCCCACTAGTGAATCTACTTATTCTACCAAACTGAAATGTTTCTGGTCTGGAGAGAGCTGTACAATATAAAGTTGGTAATGTTTGTGGCTCAAGAACCACTGACACCACTTTAAAAGCAGTAGCTAAAAGTGTTAAAAACTCTATTGTTGCTTTAAGAGAGGATCAGTGACTTGGAGACAGAAACACAAATGGGATTTTTCTCTTTTGATTCACCTGCAGAGTGTCCGTATCACCGGCCTCTTGGCTTTGAGGCAGGATCTGTGAGTCCAGACCAGATCACCTGCTCCAACCAGGAACAGTACACTGGCTGGTTCTCCTCATGGGTCCCGAGTAAGGCCAGACTCAACAGCCAGGGCTTTGGGTAGGTCCAGAATAACATTCTGACGTCATTATTTTTCTTTCATATTTTATTTCCTAATTAAAAATGCAGACAAATGAAAGAAAGAGATCATCATGTTTGTTTTTGTTGTGAACTTACAAAATATAGTTTTTACCATGTTGCTGAGTCTTATGTGCCAAACAATGCTCTTATGCCCTCTGTGAGGAATACGTGTAAACAAAATATGGGTAGTGCAGTCTGCAGAGTTCACACAACAACATGTCCTTTATTAGGAAAATAAATACAGTAGAAACGCTCAGTGATGTTCTTACTGAAGCTTGTGTGTTGCTTGATAACATTTTAGTGTCAGTTTCTTAAAAAAAATCGTGTGTCTGTGTCTGTGTGTGTGTGTGTGTGTTCGGCTCTATATATTATTTCTCCTCCAGGTGTGCATGGCTGTCCAAGTTTCAGGACAACAGTCAGTGGCTGCAGGCTGACCTAAAGGAGGTGATGGTGGTGTCGGGGATCCTGACTCAAGGCCGCTGTGACGCTGACGAGTGGATCACCAAGTACAGCGTTCAGTACCGTACGGACGAAAAGCTCAACTGGATTTATTACAAAGACCAAACTGGAAACAACAGGGTCAGTTGTCCTGACTGGTGTAGAGTTTATACACAAAACAGTATGTTTTTCCAACTCAGTACCATGGCCTCAGATGTCAAATGACTTATTTGACCGATTAAACTGATGACAACTTAGTTCCGAAAATTAACATTCAAAAGCATCCAATCAAAGTGGGTCCTGGCATCACCTTTCTGTTCTTCCTCAGGTGTTTTATGGAAACTCTGATCGCTCCTCATCAGTGCAGAACCTCCTGCGGCCACCCATTGTAGCCCGTTACGTTCGCATCCTCCCCCTGGGGTGGCACACACGCATCGCTCTGCGTCTGGAGCTGCTGATCTGCATGAAGAAATGCATGTGATCCCATCCTCCTGACATCCCCAGGCTCTCCTTCCTAAATGTGTGATCTGTTTGATGATATAGTCACAAATCAAGTTGACCCTGAAATGTTCAACACCAAACTGTCTTTTCCACATCCGAGATGCTTCCATTGACATGCATTTGTTTGATATGCCCAACAAGCTTTCATTCGCTCCACTCTGTATTGTCTGTGTTAAATCCGGGCTCAGGCTTTAATTTGAGGATCGCTCCATTTGCAACCAAGTGGCATAAATTCAAAGCAGTAATTAGTAGCTGCAAGAAGAGGCAGTGTTGCTATGGTGTCTGGAGCCACGGGCTTGTGAAAAGCTCCTCCAAAATATTTGTGTTGTTTCAGCATTTATCACACTTAGAGAACTGTTTGCAGGGAAATTTTACTTCTCAGTGTCATCGCCTCACTTACCCTGAACACAAAGATGGTTTTCCATTTTTCTATGCAACCAGTAAACACAAAAATGATTCAACAGTTATTTGTTGTGTTTAAATCCCAACAAGCTGAAGTGCTTCATTTTATCTGATTTCAAATTAAATCAGAGGAACAAAATGTTGCTTAATGGCTTTAAACCTTTTTGTTTTAAACTTGTAGAAAATGAATGTGACCCTTTGTGTGTTTATCCAGTACAAGCGTGCTCATATAAGAACATTCTGTGACTGAATTAGAAACATGTTGTTTTGTTTGTATACTATTATTTTTGTTTTTACTCCCAATATATCAAACACTACTGTGATAAAATCAAATAACTTGATTTATTTTCCTGTAACATTACAGACTTTTTTTCCTATGATGCTTTAGGGGTGAACCGAAGATTGTTTCTTTATTGTATGTCTCCTTTAATAAATCCACATGTGTGTCGAGTAATTTTCATGTTTGTGCAAGAAAACATATGAGCCGTTCAAAAATGTACAGGTGGCATTTATTATGAGAACCTATCATATTCATGGTCAGTATAGATACAGTCTAATATTCCTATTTACACCCTGTCAGAAGTGGAAAACAGCTTAATGAAAAAAAGATGTTTAAGGAAACACATTCACATCTGGGAACAAAAAAAAAAAAGAAAAGAAAAAGTCATCTTGTTGTTTCTTAGAGTGTGTTTGACTTGCTGAGGGTCGAAGCGTTCGTTTCCATCAAAAGGGTTGAGTCAGTGAGCTGAGTGTAAGGCTTCGGGTCACTGCAAAGGCAAGCTTTGTCATCACTCTGTCGAGGACGGATACAAACAAACCCACACGAGCAGTTGTTTACAATCATTAGCAATCAGTGCTTCCGCTAATGCACAAGATGAGGCAGTTTCACTGGATATGCAGTGAGTCATGTTCAGGGATAAATTAAAATCAGCACAACAAAATGTTGATCTTATGTGAACACTTTTCTCTTTTTCTCACAATATAAAATACTGCCGGTAATCCTGTGATGTAGTCCACACTGAAATAAAAAGTCTGTTGGATTTACTTAACTGGATCGTGCACATCAGGTGCATGAACTATACCTGATAAATACATGTTAATAGATCATAAAATGTAATAAAATGATTACAGAGTTCAGTTTGCATTTAAAATATTATAAGTGAAATAAAATATACATGTGCTAAGAAACAGTTGTGTACAGTTCTTAAGCTGGCAGTGAAAAAAACAAAACAAAAACTATGACTGAAAAGGATAGTGATAGAGGGGCTCAAAAAGCACTCAGCGGTGTTTCCAACTAGAAGAACACCTAGGTGAATCACAGGGAGCATGTGGAGCATGTTGTAGAAACAGATAGGGTCACAAACACACTGGGAAAAGTCTTTGGAAAAGATTTCAATGTATTTGTGTTATTTCCATGTTATCAGAACATGATAATTTCATGTTCTTAACATTAAATTATCATGTTCTGATAACATGTATTTATCACGTTGGCCTTATAAAATGAAGTTTTAAAACCAGAATATAATCAAATTTCATGCAACCGATGTTGTACTGATGAAAATTTAGCTACATTTATTAAATTAAGTGATCAAATTGATAATTCATATTTGCATGGAATATAAATGGTGACGGTGACCACCCGGGCTGCCTCTTCTCTGGACCCCGAGAGCGACCATCACCGTATCGTAGACTGCAAGATGGTGTCAGATGGTTTTCTGAATAATCTGTAGCTTATTAAACCATACAGTCAGACTGATTTTACAACCCAGACATCACAAGATCTCTCAGATACTTAATAAGGTTTTGCTACAAACATCTTGCTTACATTCCATCATTTCATTCATACTTTGTCATGTATAATCATTAGTTAAGAAAGATAAATTAAAATAATTTTTATAAACTATGTACTTGACTCTGTCTGAATTAACATGAAGTGTGTGTTCCCTGAATAGTCAAAGGTTTTACCTAAGGTAATATTAAGTCAAATATTCAAAGACCAATCAGATAGATAATTTATCTTTATATGGAATATCACATCTTATTGATCATTTAATAATATGTAGCCAAATCCTCACTGCTACAATTTACATCATTCAATTATGTAAATCCAACAGACTTTTTTCTTCAGTGCACTCAGACCGACTCACTCTGAGTATCGCTCTTCTTGTTATTGCTTTCATTCAGCCATGTACTCACAAGTCTTATTTACCATCAAGCTAGCAAACATCTAACTTGTTCCTTCTTTTTATGTGCTCTTAGACTGATGATAGAAAAGATCAGATGCAATTGAAGGATACAGTCAAGATTAGAAGACACGCTGTGCTGTATACCGTGCTGAGACCAACAAGTAAATGCTTTAAAAACAACCAAGTTGAAATAAAATCATCCCTGATCATGACAGCTGGCGTTGGAAATGAATGAAATGGAGAAATTACAGTTCAGATTTACAAAATCATTCAAAAGACATGATGGCAGGAGTTTTAAATTGCACACAGAAGATGTAAACAAACATTACAGAATAAGTCTGGTGTTATTTCATTTGTCAACAAAGTAAGAATCAGGTAATAAACTTGACAGACGTTTAGATCCTTCATTATAAATAGTCAGCCTTTCACTGTTAAAGGGATGTTTTACTAGTGTTTTTTATGCGTAAGTTATTATTAATTTAAAGCTCACTTGTTGGAGACAGCTAATCAAGTGGCCTCAGTTTGGATAAATAGGGCTAACTGGTCTGAGTGCAGCCAACACCACTGCATTAAGACGGCTCTTGGAGTAATTTAAAGAGACAATGTGTAGTTTTTACCGTTGATCTCTGGAAATATCAACATGTTTTTGAAAATTAATTAAATGATGCCCAGTTGTTGAACAACATTGGTGACTTCGTAACATATAACCATAAAAATTGGGACTAAATACATGGGAGCGAGTCTAAGGGTGATCCTCAATGTCAAGGAACCTCACCTTGATGCCTTGGTCCTGCCCTGGTTGCCTAGGAGATACGTCATGAGGAAAGGCCATGGCGTGTTCTATTCGTTTCCAATGTTCATGGTCTACGGAGCCATCTGTTCTCTATTTGTTAGCTGTTTAGCTAGCTGACCAAGGATACACGGGAGGTGTCTTGTAGCCTGGCCATGGTTGACAATTTCCAAGAATACAGCGCAGTATTTTCAAAAGGATGCCAAATCAGGAGCCAGCAGCTACTTCGGGGGCAAATTTCCTGTTTAAAATAAGTCAACTAATTATAACTATTGGTCTGATATCTGAAATTTTTTTTAGATACAGTATTGTTGATTAGTTGCTAAGTAGTTGCAGCTTCAGCGGCTAGCAGGTAGTAACACACTTACATCTTTAATTTAACCAATTTATATACACAATTAAAAACATAAAAGGCCCGTCATACATTTATATTGAAACTTATACATATAAAATATAATTTTACCTCACGTGTCACTTGATGGTACGTGACCGCCACGGGAGCCGTGGTCATGTGACGTAAGTCTGTTCCATTTAACCGTTTTCTTTAATCAAGGAGGGACAGTGTCCTTGTAAGCAAAGCGCCTGGCCTAGTAAGACAACACCTTGCTATAGGCCAGGCGCCTTGACATTGAAAAGCACCCTAAGTCTCTGGGCGACGCCATATTAGATGCCATGTTTCCTTCTACGGGAGCCCATGAGGACAAAATACATTTACTGATTTGTAACAAATGGGTACAAAACTTTTGCCATTCATAAACATTGTTGTTTTACACTTTTACCTCTTCACTTGTTGCCAGTGATGAAAGGGAGTCGGATGTGTTTGTCATTTTGCTGGAGGTTGCACTCCCAGGGATTTTTTACCCTAATGGCCATCCGTTGGTAAGGTCTTACTTGAGCACAAAAATACTTCTTGGTTTTCATGATTTAGGTGTGTACTGCCCTAATCGCCAGCGAAAATACACACAGTCACTTTAAAGACAGAAGAAATGCGTTTTTGTTCTTGTCTCTGCTCAGTCTAATCTAATCAGTCTTATTGTTCATTAAACTCTCCTTAAGTTTCACACAGAAACACACTTCAAAATAGCTAAAAATATCCTTAAAGGAAAAATAATGACACATTTAAGATGGATCATTTAAGCATTATGTTTTTCCCCAGATGTGACTCCTACAAAATTGCCAGGAATTTTTGGGATGTTTACATTTCACCATCCTAAAATGTGACACAATTGACTTCGTGCTACAACTACTGATAAGAAGGTGATTACTATATATTGTTAATTAACTTTTAACTTTAACACACGATCATCCTAATTTCTACAAGCTGGTTTAAGAATCTGCGAACCTATTTTGTTGTTGCTAAAACACCTTTGAAATATTTTATTTAACTTACTGATTACTTTTGGTCAATAACAGAGGACACATTTCAAAGGAAATACAACCAGACTTATCCCTTAAGCTCTTGTAGGCTTTAGTTGAGGTATGCCCTTTATGTTGCAACAATCTTAAGGGTTACATATCATTAAACTTCAGTTTTCTAGAGGTTAACTTCTCTTAATAGTACTAAAACATAGATAAAAACATATGCTGTGTCCCTCTATGGTAGCAAGACAAGCCCAAACCATGGCAGCATGGAGCTGGAAAGCTGTGGTCACACATTAATAAAAAAAGAACTGAAGGTAAAATAACTTGAAATGGAACATAATGTGTTCTAACATAAAACACAGAGCCTAGCAGTCTCACTGCCAAGCCCTGCTGACAAACAGCCCAACCTTCATGAAGGGGGTTGTCCTACATGTAATATCAGCACTGTTGAGTGTTCATCAGTATTTCTTTTTTCTCTTTGATAAAACAAACAGGGAAATCAGTAAAAATAACACAACATAAAGAAAAGAATATGTTAAAACATCATATATGACAAAAAGGACATTCGCCATTATTAAATATTCTTTGTGACGTTTTATATTATCAACACGTAAATATTTATTCATCTCTCTGTGTCGAAATAAAGCTCTTGCAATTACACATTTACTCCTAAACAATCTTAGAATATTTCCATATAACCTACATAGTGTCATTTATAGCTTATATCCTTGAATTTAAAACAAATAAATATTTTATAAATAATGATATAAATCTTTCTCTTTTTTTTCTTGTTATCAAATATCAAGAGGATGAAAAACCTTTGAGTTCAACAGGCCACTGCTGAGACAGACGTCTGAGTTGTAGCGTCCCGCAAGCAGAAGATGGCAGCAGAGAGGCCACATAGGCAGTGTCTCTTTCACAGGACATATAAGGTTCTTCTGATGAAAGCGGATGACGCAGGACTAGCAGCCTGTCCTCGCGTTAATCTAAGGACACTGGTACTAGACTTTGTAGATTTCCATGATGTGACAAACAACAGATTCCCACATATCAAGTGTTGTTTTCCTACAGTACCATGATGTCTGGCAGGTTTTCATTCAAGATGGAGAGAGGTCTGACATCGTTACAGGGCCGTCTCCTTCAGGTCGTTAAGATTTGGTATCCTGGTGCGAGCGGCTCGGGTAAATGTTGGTCCGTTCTGACCCGGTTTGATGCCCAACTGCTCGGGAGTAAACTGAGCCCCTTCTACTCGCTGTAAAGCAGACACGTGCCAGCTGGACTCGATCTGTCCAGGTAAGGGGTAGCTGGCTTTGCGGTTCTTTGCCTGGCTGGAGCTGCTCACCCCCGAGTGGCCCCGGCTCTCCGTGTGCCCTCGACTCTCAGAATAACCTGGTTTGGAGGAGGGCTGAGGGGGGTTAGGGAGGGGGGCTTGGAAGCGCAGGTCTAGAGGAGGGGCAGGAGATGGCTGTCCTTGATTTGAAGAAGAGGGGGAGAGATGAAGGAGCCGACGAAGAGACTTGAGTGGTTGGCTCTGAAAAACAGGATAAATACACACAGTTACTGAAACATCGTGTTTATGATCCAAACAACTTATGAAACAAAAAGCAAGCATGGTCTTTTGAAACAGTTCAAAAGGTCACTTTTGCATGTTAAGACACTATTTGTCAAAAGGGAGAATCATTGCTGCATCTGCATTGCTGGAGCCATAAAATTCATTGGCTAATGTAGAAAAACCTGGTGGGCCTTCACCCACAGGTACACACCAAAAAGAGACGAAGGACCAAAAATGACTTCTTATTTAAACTAATTTATAGTTTCATGACAGGACAGCAGATCTTTTTTTTTCTTTTCTTTTTCAGGTCACAACATAAAAACTGTGTTTTGTATCCAATTACAGATAGGGCTGAAGAGATTAAAATAAAACTAATGTCAATTTCAGATGCTGATTTTTGGTACGTACACTCATCTCACATCTGATAGCAGCTAAACGTAAGACATGAGCAAAGAAGAATATTTTTCAAACTGGAATGGTTTACCTTTGGGTTTGCAGGATTTCAACTGGTTTGCTATCAACAGGATTTCAGCTTAATACACACTGCCCAACCCCAAAAAAGTTGCCACCTGGATTTAACTAAGCAAATAGGTACGAACTTCCTATTGGACAATTAATGCATGGGCGATTATCTTTCAGCTGGCAACAGGTTACTTAACCCCATCTGGTGCAATGAGTTGCTTCTCATTTCTTAAACAATCATGTGGAAAGACATCTGGTGGTCGTGGTGGTCTATTTGAGTAAGGCCAGATCATTGCATGCATCAAGCAGAGAAAACATCAAAGGAGATTGTAGTATCTACAAAAATTGGGTTGAGAACTGTCCAACGTGTTATTAAAAGCTGGTCTGATGGGTCCAGGTGAACCCTGTTCCAGAGTGATATCAGTGTGAGAAGAGAGGCAGATGAAGTGATGCACCCATCATGCCTAGTGCCTACTGTACAAGCCTATATGGGGGCAGTGTTATGATCTGGGGTTGCTGCAGTTGGTCAGGTCTAGGTCCAGCAACAGTATAGTGATACTGAATGACCAGGTTACTCCATCTTCCCTGATGGCACGGCCATATTCCAAGATGTCAACTCGAGGACTCATCAGGCTCAAAATAGTGAAAGAGTGGTTCAGGGAACATGAGACATCATTTTCTGTGGACTGGTCACCACAGAGTCCAGATCTTAACCCCATCGAGAATCTTTGGGATGTGCTGGAGAAGGCTTTGTGCAGCGGTCAGACTCTACCATCATCAATGCAGATCTTGGTGAAACATTAATGCAACACTGGATGGAAATACATCTTGTGACATTGCAGAAGCTTATTGAAACAACGCCACAGCGAATGTGTGCTGTAATCAAAGCTAAAGGTGGTCCCACAAAATATTAGTGTGTGTGACCCTGGGTGGCGACTTTTTGTTTTGCCAGGGTGTGTATTTAATGTATCAGAGAGTCTTGTTGTGATACAGGCAACACGCATGCTGGCACTGTCTTGGATTAATTAGCTCTGCGTTTAAATGATTTTCAAATTTAAGTTATCATGCATTGTGCTTTTATTCACCTCCATATGAAACAGGTGCTGGGCTGAATAAGCAAACACGTTCTGTACACTGAGAAGCTATAAATACCTGCTGGTATTTGCACCCTTTTTACTTGTATACAGTTATTTTTGGAAACCCTGTCAATCACTTGATGCTATTATGCAGCAGTGAAAATAAAATCCTTGAGTCTGCTGCAGATGATTGTTTAGAAACATTGTGTTTGCACATGCAGTCCTTTCACTGCATCCCAGAAGTGAGATTTTCTTCTGAAACGCTCTGTCTCTCTGGATCATCTATATATAACCAGTCATGATACTGACCCGTTCCATCAGGGTTTTGGTCTGAGCATTACACAACTCCTCCTGATGTTTCTTCTCAGACTATTTCATTATTATTATTATTATTATTATTATTATTATTATTATTACAAAGGATCAAACTTAAAGTCAGCATAAAATGTAGAAATAAGAAACCAATTCCTTCAATCTGTGGTGAGATTAATTTCTTTTTTCACACCTCTTCCATTAGATAAAGGTCCAGATCTAAATTTAATGACAGCACATACCTGAGAGTGTGAGTCCACTTGTTTTTCTGGTGGCCAGTCAATGACTCTCTCTCTTTCCCTCCCCCTCTCCCTCTCTCTCTCCCTTTCTCTTTTATTTTCTCTCTCTCGCTCCCTGTCCCGGTCCCTATCCCTGCTCTGTTCCCGGTCTCGGTCTCTGTCCCGGGATCGTTCACGGTTTTTCCGCCGGCTGCCGTGGTGAGAGGTCGACTTGGAGCTCCTCTGCAGGGACAAGTGTTCTTGTCCATTTCCAATAACCTGCCGATTAAAAGGCAAAATAACCAGGATGTTACTACATAACATGCTATTTTTCTCCTTGTGCAGAATCCTTATTTTAGAAACGCGTCTGAGTAATAATCACATCCTGTTTCCCGGCGACGTTCTACATGCACACCTGCTGCAGCAGCAGACACAACACAAGTCGGTGGTGATGATGATTAGTAATGATTAGTAATGGCTTTCTACATGAAAAATGAACCAGCTCCACAAGCATTTATGACTGAATTCACAAACTGAGATTACAAGTTATTTAGACAGAAATATTGTGAATTTATGAAGAAAATGTTACACATTAAAAACAGAAGGGCTAGCAGCTAGCGTTGCTGCTAGTTTTTTATGCAAATGACCAGAATCTTTTGCAACTAACCATGACTGTCTCGAGGTTTACAAAATAAAGCTTGTATGAAACACTAAGATATTTTTGAGAAAGTTTTTTAAGGTGACAGTGGTCCTCTTGGGACTGCCCCAGCTGTTAGAGATCGCCTTCCAAAAGATCTGAACGAGGGGTAGACCGAGATATCTGCCGGCCGATATTAACTGTTTTTTATACATCTACATCATGATTTGGCTTCAGAAATTTAGAGCATCAACTGATGTTATTAGCAACATTTTAGCATGAAAATAAGGTGGAAAACTTCTAGATAAGCTGTAGGTCTTTAAAATTGACCCACAAAAATCAGCAGAACATATCGGCCATCGGCTGACCACGCCTCCCACATATCAGCACTGGTATAGGCAACAAAAAAAAAAAAAAAAACTATATCGGTTGACCTCTAATCTGAACTTTTGCTTTACTGTTTAAAAGTAAACTCCATTCCAGGTCAACAAAACCTTTCTTGGACTTCTACAAAGTCTGCCAACAAGCAGATTTTGAGCTGGAGCGAGGCTCTGCAACCTTTACAATCAAAGGAGCCATTTCTGAGTTTTTCCTCATGAAAAACAAGATGTCCGGAGCCACAAAACACACTTGGAGCTTGAAGAAAAGAAAACTGACTTAGTTATATAAATACTTCTCTCATTAAATAAGTGAACTGTCACGTTACCTGAAGCATTTAACAGTTTTTGTAGCCAGTTGTGAACTAATTAAACTAATCTGAGTACTTCCGAATGTGTTCACAATCATCATGTGATACAATGATGTGAAGGTTTAGGCGTCACAAACAGCATACACCGCAGCATGGAACCAGCCTCTTACAATGCAATGTGAGCCCACGGTGACTGCGTCTGACATTCATCATTAGAGCAAGACAAATGGATGCACAGGAAGCTTTTAGCTTGTTTAGAAGCTTGAAATCCACTCAAACTAAATGAACGTCGAGCGTTTGAGAGGATTTCAGATCAGCTCATTCCTGATGAGTGCGGTGTAGGTTAACATGCAGCTGTAGTGTTGAGGTTAGATTACTGGTGAGGCAGGGTAGGGCGCAGTAGGCTGGTGTTGTACCATAGGCGAGGCGACTACAGGGAGGACTTTGACAGCCGAGTTGTGCTTTAAGCTATTCTTAGAGCTAAAAAGGGGGAAAAGGCTTTTCTTGATGCTGGGATTCCTTCCGTCCTCCATATCCGTCTGTGGAGCAGAAAACGCACAGCCACAACTTTCAACACAAGCCTCAAGAAAACAGGAGCAACTGCTGCAGCAGCTGATCCACAGGTCTTAGGAACTTCAAATGATCAACAATAATCAAAAATGGCACACATGTTTGATTATTCCTCAGGAGAAAATAAACTTGTTCCGTTTTTCTACAGATCATACAGTATTATTTTTATCTGAGTATAAAACAAGGAAAATTTTCCTAATTCCAACTTCAGGCTTGCTAAAGAAATGATTCACATTGTTTTTGATCACATAAATAAATAGATAAAAATGTAAAAAAATGACTTTACCAATGAATGATTGTGTAACAAAAGCTCACGCCTTTACTGCTGAGGGGGAAAGACTCTAAAACTGTTTTATATTTTCTATTGTTTGAGGTTTAAAACCACCCTTTAATCATTTAATCTCACCGTTGTCCCACTCTTCTTCAAAAACAGCTACTCTGTCATTGTGTGTTAGCTAGATTTGTTTTCATTTTTGACATTTTCTTGAAAATACAGCAAAATATAGCTTAAAGTTAAGTGAAAATCTTGACATTTGCAGATAAACAGACATTTGGGAAGTCGTTTTATTGGTTGCCCTTTTATGTGCAGGAGCTTTTCTATAATCCATTTGATTGTTTGTCATGATTGCATTTCACTGTGTTTCCAGCCAACATCCTGCTGAGTTTATTATTATTGTCATCATTAGGAATGATTGCAGACAATATGACAATTTGACCCGTGTTGTAATAAATCAGAATTACCCTTTGAGGATTCTTGGTGGCTACTATCAGTCATGCAGAGAAGCATTTCTACTTGTAGATATTAGTGTTTATTAGGCAACGGTTTTCAAAGATCTTACTATTTGTGTCTTCTTCTTTTTCTTTTTAATGGCTTTGAAGAAGCCTTGTTTCTCCTTCTCTTTGGTGGGCTCTGGAGGATTCATGACCATCGCCTCTGCAGCAGTCCTGCAGAACACATGTGGAAAGGTTTCTTATAATTGTGTGTGGGTACAACCTAAATAAAGCAACAAACTGCAAATCTGCAGTGCACCAAAACAAATAAAAATCTCCTTAGATGAAACAGAAGCTGAGAGAAGGACAATTTATGAGTAAAAAAAAAAAAAAAATGCAGTGAGACTTTACTAATTTTCTTTCAGTGAGTCATTTGTTTTATTCTCAGAAAAACACAACTGAGGGGAAAACGAATTAATCTATATACAGTAGCTGTAAACGATGGAGAAACTGAAATGTCACAAAGGATTTGGCATTGACGAATTTCCACATTTAGAAAGAAAATTATGAGAAAACATTTTTGTCTCCAGAAAGTTACATCTCAAAACGTTTTGCATAAAAACAAACTGTGATTTTTAAATAGCAATTTGCACAGGGAATAACTAAACTGTCCAGAAGGGTTCCTCAGATCAGCTGATAACAACCGAAACATTCTCACCAGTCAAAGGCCGTCTGGCGTTTGGAGTGGTTTGCCATGCCACCTGGGTCACCGGCTACAACAGGCACAACTGGTCCTCGACCCTGACCAACACCTTCGTGGAAAGAAGAGGAGTTATCCGGTCTGGGGGAGGGGACTGAAGAGAAACAGGGAGGAGAGAGCATGACTGCAAGTGTTTCTACAGACTTGAAGGAATTGTGTTTGAAGGGAAAGTGACTTGTGAGCTGTTTGAAGAAAATCAGTTTCAAGTTGCAAATGGTTTTGTAATAGATAGAAGAAAGGTCAAGGCTGCAGTCTGTTACACACTAGTTACCTGAAGCCATCTCTTATGTTTAATGATGGTTAGCTAAAGGTGTGCACATGACTCGGAGACACACTAGATCACAGCAACTCATTCATTAAATGTGATTTTGTCTGATTACAGCTTGAAATTCTCCTTCAGTTTCTGAACTGAGGAAGTATTTTAAATAAGAAGTGAAATATAACTTATTTTGATCACACACTTGCAGTGGTCTTTAGGATAAATGAATGCCTTGTGAGTTCATCTCTGGGGGTAAAAAGCTCTGGCGCTCCTGTTTCATGAACTAGGAGTGAGCCGGAGGAGAGGGGAGCAGAAAACATCAGGACTTGGACTCCTGTTTCCTGATTTACTCACATCCCACTTCTGATTGGCTAATGGCAATGCAACTCTACCACTGACCCCATTTGCTTTGCAAAAATTGATTTATCTCCACAACAGCTGTGTGGTGGAGTTGATAATGCTAACGACTAGCCTCTACTAGACAAGACATGCTCTGCCCCCTCCTGGATGTTAAATCAACAGCAGCCTTCCTTTTCATGGCCCAAGATGGGTGAGTCCATGAAAACTAATTTACAATGTTGTGTGCAATTTATTGGAAGCGTTTTACCGTTTATTTTCTGTCACCACAAATGTAGGAAATAGTGGTAGAAGACTATTTTCACAGTTACCCTGCATGTTAAACCCATAGTAAAGATCATATTTAAAAAATTACAAGTAAAAAAAACTGTTTCTCAGTGAACTTGGACTTTAAAAAGCAAGACAGGAAATCCATTTCTTTTCCATTCAAACCCTCGGGATTACTCAGTTTGGCCAAATAGTTGCTGGTGAGCTGTAGCGTGGGATATGACATTTAATGCAGACTACACATAACACTTATGAAGCCAACCTAATTAAAAATGGCATCCACATCCAACTGATTTCAGAGAAATCAGAAAAAACAAACTAAAAAAATGGCTCTTACTCAGTCAGTTTTACAATTAATGACCTAAATTTTGGGACAACAACTAAGACTCAGTAAAAATAAATAAAATAAAATTCAAGCAGTCCACTGTTTGTTTACTAAATTGCTAAACCCATCGTCTTGGGGACATTTGGTTACTGTGTATGATCATTTTACTAACATCCTCACAACTAACTCCATTATATTGCTTGTTAAGCTGTAAGAAATGGTCACATTGGTTGGTTAGTCTTTGGTCATGACTAAAACATAATCGCAGTCGTTTGACACAAAGCTGTGGAAATAGGGTCACAATTCCTGTTTCTTACCTCTGTAGAAACTGCCAACTCTCCGAGGCATGGACTCAGTGAAGATCATGCGGTTCTCCTTGGAGGAACCTCCATCGTCACCGTGAGGATCATGATACATTCCAACCTGAGAAACGTAAGCACCATGCAAAAAAAAAAGTAAACACAAAGCTATCTTTTCGCATCTTTAGACTCGTAATCTTGTGTTCCCTGCATGTCCTTTCCTACGACCGTGTTAAAACGCAAGCACAAGACAGTCAGGACGATCGCAGAGCTTTTCAGTGAGGTTACATTTAAAACAGCGACAACATGCAGTGGAGCTTTGGCCTGAGTGTAAACAGAAAGCAGCTGTTGGAGGAGAGATGTTTGTGTTGGGTGGGTTGGAGGTGGGGAGGAAACCAGTGGGTCGGACCTCATTTTTAGAGCGCTGTGTGTGAAAAGCAGCTGAGGTGTCCCTCGTAGAGTCTTTGATGGGGGCGCAAGGGTGGTTCATGTCTTTAGGGGGCTGCTCATTCTGTTGAGAAGATGGACAAGTGCAGGTCAAAGCAGACTGGAGAAGCAGCATGAGGCAAAGGCAGTGAAAATGTTACAGTGAGAGTCCCTTCACACACACACAACTCACAGAAGACACAAACACACACGGAGACACATTTTTAGTGCATACATATTCAGGAATTAAAGAAAATCACCTTTAAAAAAACACCACTATTTAATATTTCTAGTCAGTGAGCTGTGTTATTTTTAAGGTAATTAAATTAGTGTGATTTCTCCCATCCGTCTGCCACATCTGCTCGCAGCAGCAGTGACTGATTGCAGGCAGCTGTGCATTTTAGTTGTAGTCAGATTTTGGAAAGCTTTTTTAAAACCTCACATTTGCAGCCGAGTCACGTTTCTTTTCGAAGGATGATTCACATTTAACGGATTAAAAAAGGGTAATAGCCGATATAGACAGCTCAAAGTTAAACAACGCAGCGATCGTACCTATATTGAATAAACCATGTTTTCAAAGAGGTAAATATACACACACTTGCATATGAAAGCCACTTTACTGCGCATCTTACTGCATTATTATTATTATAGACCTAGTTGTTACACAATGCGATCATTAAAGAAAAAATTTCTATGAAAAATCTATTTTGCATCAGCTAAAACAAAATCAAATGAGAGATTTAGATTTTGTTGCATTTTTAAAGTTGAACCAGGCAGTTTTGGCTTGCTTTCAGCATCCCCTAGTGTCCGTTTGTAGAACAAACAGCAAAACTCATCTCCTCACTATGTTCTTCTTTTTAACACCTTAATCTAACAGCTGAAACGGCTCCCCAGCCTTCCTTAGTGTCTACAGGAGCGGTTCATCACTAAATTAAATAACTCAGCTGTGTTTATGATCTAAAACATGCAGGAACCGTGCTGGAAGCAGACTGCAGCACCAGGTATGCCAGCTCAAGTCCGAAGAGATCAGCCCACCACTCTGAAGTTGCAAGTGGGATATTCTGGCCACAGGAGGTGATAGGGACTGGGTGGCCTCTCATAACCCTGTAAAGGGTAATTTTAGCACATACTGGCTCAAGAAAGTTATTAAAAATATAAAAAGGTTGTAAAATATCCCTAGTGTTTTGTAACTTATGGATTATTGAGTTCCCATCCCGTAACATCTTTCAAAGTGCCTGATGCCACAAACAAAACATCCAGATGACATGATGAATCCATGTGGACCTGAACACACAGGGCATTCGGTCACTGACCCTCGCCATGTCATCAGTGCAGTCTTCTCTTGACGAGCTGACTGAATGTCCAGTCAGGGTGGTCCGATGTGGCAGCTGAGGGGAGAGGAGCTGGAGGCTACTGGCTCGTGTTGGTATCGTCTGCCCAGGAGGAGGCAAACCCGTCATGCCACCTTCAACCCCATGAGGTCGGTGGCGTTCCCGTCTCACGTACATGGAGTGGCGCTGAGGTCGTTGCTGGGAGGAGAAGGGGGAGGTGTAGCCCAGGCCATAGTGATAAGACTCATGTGGAGAAGGAAGAGTGTGAGTGTTGGGCATCCCTGGTCCACCTGGGTCTAAGAGCTCAGGAGCTCCAGCATCTTCTAGAGAAAGAAACTATAAGTCAGTGGTGGTGTTTGCTGTGCGTTTTAGGCTTTGTGTTGATGTGTATGTTTTGGGCCGAAAACGTCTGTCCCCGTGAGAAGGATGGATCATTTATGCAACAGAAATTAGAAAAACGAACTTGTGCACTTACCTGGTGCCAAGGGTTTATGCCTGGATTTGTGCCTGGATGAGGAGTCCAGCGTGCTGCTCTCCATGCGGACGTTTCCGCTGCTACGAGAAGCGGGGCTGTGCCCAGACCGGTCACTGTGCCGAGTAGAGGGGCTGCCAGGGGGTCCGGGGGGACCTGAAGGAGCGTTGAGCTCTAAACAGCTGGCGGGGAAGTATCGGGCACTTGGTGCAGCAACAGCAGCTGTGTTGGCATTTGGGTCATCTGGGTGAAGTCGGCCATCGCTGAGATTCCCCACAGATTTGGCATCACTAAGACCACTGTGGCTCTTGGACAGGCTAAGGTAAGAGGCTGAACTTTTAGAGGATGAGGACATGGACCCATGAGCAGAGTCAGCCATACTGTGGGCATGGCGGCCATGTTGCTTCTCTGCACCAGACTGCAGTGTGTTGGTTTTATTTTCCAGGAAGTTATGGCGCCCGGCCTGCTGCTGCTGCTGCTGTTGCAGCTGTTGCTGCTGCTGTTGCAGCTGTTGCTGCTGCTGCTGAGAGCGAGAGGAGCTTGGTTTGCTGTGGCCATATTTTGCTCCGTGTCCCTGATCTGACAGCTTTGCGGAGGGTCCCAGGTTAAAATCAAACTCTGTCTTGCTTTTTGGCTCTTTGGGACTGAGAAGGTGTGGCAGGTTGTTGTTAGCCAGGTCTTTGCTAGAAGAGGCAGAACGATTCAGGGTCTGGGATAGATACTGGCCCTTTGGGTGGAGCGTAGGACTTAAACTCGACGGAGCTGGTTTGTTGCCATTCAGGAAACTCTCATTGCTGAGGTGATGGAGGTCCCCGTGGCGAGGGAGGCTGGAACACTCTTTGCTGGTGGAGCGGCGACTGGAGCTCTTAGTGTGACTTCTAGAGAGTCAGCAGAAGAGGGAGTGAATTATTCCTCATCCTAAAATCCACATATTCTCACAAATATTCCCAAAATGATGATGCCGTCACCAAAGCCCTTTAAAAATGTGTTTGAGTCGAATTTGAAAAGTGGCAGGGTTTACTGAAATGAGTTCATAAAGTAAATGTTAAAATAGAAACATACAAAGCTCTGCACATTAGCACAAAGACAACTTCAAAAACTAAAAGCAGAAACAAAAAGTACAAAAAGATTAAGAAATTATACAAAAAAACATTTATGACATCAGGCAGAAATAGGACTAAAAAGATCTACATCCTGATCTCTAGCAGTTTTGTTTAGTTTTACCTTGTTTATTTGTTTTGCCAGAACATAACTCATGCATTCTGAATAAGAAATATATTTACTTCAAACTATTTTTAAATAAATGGTTGTAAAGTATAAAATAGAAAAATAAAGGAATTTCAGTACATTTTGGTTGAAAAAAGTATTTCTCAAACCAGTTCACCATTTAACTCTGTCCTCCTTTTTGAATGTTTCATGTAGAAGGTAGTAATTTTATAAGCTTGTCATGTTACAAAACATGTGTGTGTTGTAAGTAGTTACAGGAAAATAACACTTATTGGATATTAAACGGTGGCCAGACCTTGTAGGAACTGTGTTCTCTCCGTGGTGGTGTGTTTTCCTCTTGGAGGAGCGTGGCGGGTTTGGCGATGCCGGAGACGACTTCTCCCGTTCTACCTGCCTCAAAGGCTGAAACACCGGATGGTTTAAACTCTGCTCAGTTAAGAAACGCTCAGTAGGGTTCAACAGCAACATACTCTGATAGAAAAGGACAAAGTAAAATATGTTTTAGGTACTTCAGTGGCTCCATTTTCCAACAGAAAAATTAAAAGTTTTTCCACAAATGAGCATTTTACCTTCATCAAATCCAACATTAAGCCACTCATAATGCATTGGTACCTTCTTTCCAAAGTCTGGGGATGAGTAACTGAGGGAAACTGGGACACAAACAAACAGATTCTAATTTGCTTCCGTCTTCGGCTATTTTTTAAGATTACTATATGGATTCATAACATACAGAAGAAGTTGTGCTGGTAAAAAGTTGAAATCACACAGATCACACTAAACAACACACACACACACACACACACACACACACACACACACACACACACACACACACACACACACACACACCTCGCTGAGCCTTCTGGGACATTTTTTCTCGCTGCTAAGCTGAACACCAACCTATCTCATGAGTCATAGCAATCCACTCAGTCATGGTGCTGGGAACACTGCCACAAAGGAAGGAGATGGAAGGAGACCGAGCCGAGAAAGAAGAGATGCAAAAGCAGAGAGGAGAGTGACGAGAAGAAAGGAGGAGAAACCTGTTTCCTACCCGGATTCCATGAAATCGCGGGTTGTTGTAAAAGAGTTTCATCTGTTCTGCAGGAAGCGGCCCCAAAACCTTCTGAATGGTGAAGAGCTAGAAGTAAAACAAAGTATCCCATTAAACCATTTTAGCGCAGGGCCTAGAATAATCATTGAACATTTGAAATAGAGAACTTTAAGTGTTCTGATCTTGGACAGAGCTGATTTCATCTGTAACATCTCCAAAATGTGTGTTTTCATTTTTTGCAGAAAAATTTTTTCCTGTTATTTTTTTAAATAAGAAGTTTAATTTATGTAAATGCTAAATGGTCCATGTGTTTTATTAATTAATAAATCTTTTATATATTTTTAAATTGTTAATCTAGAGACTTTTTACTCATGTTGAAATAAATAACTATATGTATTACTATAACACAGATTTGTGTTCATTGTAGACCTAAACTCTTTTTTATCTAAAAGAATAACAAACAAATAAACTGTTTACAAAACACAATAAATCAACCAAATCTAATTAAAAAAACATCATTAAATGGGAAATCTCAATGAGAGTATTGTGAATGTTCACTAAAAACATCATAATCATTAAACCTTTAAAAAAAGAAACACCAGCTTTCGTGATTCACATCTGAATCTGTTCCTCTCTCTCTTTTTCTTTTGGTCTAATTAATCATTTTCTGCAACATTACCAACCTGATCAATCTCACTTTCCCCCGGGAACAGGGGCTGTCCATCACTCAGCTCCCCGAGGATACACCCCACAGACCACATGTCCACAGCTTTTCCATATGGAGCACTGACATGCACACACACGCACGCACGCACACACACACACACACACACACACACACACACACACACACACACACACACACACACACACACACACACACGCACGCACGCATTACCAAATTATATCTGCAGAAATACATTTCAAAGGAATGTCTGCAACTTACAAAACCGTGTTAATTAATTGTTCAGGTGATAATGAAGAGGAAGAGATAAGGACTGAAATAAAACAATAGGTTTTATGAAAATGCTCAGGAAGAAGATGGTCATTTCTGAGAGAACCAAGAGCCTGGTGAGAAATGGTGAGAGTTCTGGCAGCAGAGAAGCAAAGGAGGGCTGGTGTTGGAGGGAGAGAGTGTTTGAGTGGGAGGCATTTAAACACTGTCTTAGTAAATGTTCCAGGGCATTTACTAAATCAAGCTGCAGCACCGAGGCTACACGACGTTCAGCTGTCTACTAACCAGGGTGAACATTTGATGCACCAAAAGCACCAGAAGTATAAAAAACCTGTATGTTTGATTTCAGAATACAGGGAGTTAATGCTATCTCATATCACAGCCTGATATCTGGTTTTCCACAGTCTTAATTCATCTGGTGCAAATTACAGTTTGCATAAATTGTGCAGAAGTCCAACTAATATAAAAAACAACACTGTTTTCACAATGAATTAATGACTTTTAGGAAATTATTTCAGAAATCTTTAAACACTTTAACTAAAAATGATTTCTGCCAGGTCTGTCAGTTGAACTGTGCACTTCGGCAGCATATACTGATACACTCTAGGCTTTAGTAAGTGCATTTGACCTTATTTCCACAGATGAACTGCTCAGGAATGAACTACAGGTCATGACCTGGTCAAGTCTTTTGGTTTCGATTAAACGTGCATTCTTCTAATGAACAGATTATTATATTTTCTATGAGTATTATTCTAAATATCCATCAGGTGCACTCTTTAACATACAGTTTTAATTATTATACCAACTTGTAGCTTGCAGCTGGCGCACCTGCATTTCCCCATGTGGGACAATAAGGGCATTTCTATTCTAACCTTGCTCTAGTCCCATAACAGATTTAGGTACATTTAACCCATGATACTTAGGAGAAACATAAAGCTGTGCTGGATGTAAACATTTTATAAATAATATAATTACTTGGATTTGCATCCAAAAGAAAAAAGCGTTCTTGTAGAATCTTATTATATCACCCAATTCAGCAAGAGGTCTGCCGATCCTGTTTTAAATGGAACTTAAAGACCAAGTTAATTCGATTTTGCAGCACATTTGCAATAGTCTTTTGTATAAATGAATGCCTTGTGAGGAACTAGAAACACGCTAAAGGAGAGGGGAGCAGAAGACGACAGGATTTGGGGTATTCTTTCTTGATATTTAGGCATCTCACCTCTGATTGACAAACAACAACGCAACTCTACCTCTGACTTCATTTGCTTTGCAATGTCGATGTTTAATCTCCACAAACAACACAAGCCTGAAGGAGTTTGGCCGGGTTGTGGAGTTGCTAATGCTGTTAGCTTCTAACAACTCTGTTCTCCGCTGGAAGCTGAACCAACAACAGCCTGTCCTGTGGCGAGCCAAGGTGAATGCAGGAAAATGTGGTAAAAGACTACTTTCATATTTAGTCTGCATGTTAATCTCAGAGTGGCCAATCATATTTCAAAAATAACAAGTAATAAAAATTTCTCAATGAACTTGGTCTTTAAAGACGCATAAATGAAAACCTTATAAAAGGATCTGATTATGTGGTCATCAGTAACTTTCACAGCAGCATAGCTGAATCACAATAAATAATTTTAAATTTCATCCGTGTCTATTCAAATTAAGAGCATGACACATTTGGGACCTTTGATACCAGTTTATAATTAGTAGAGCATGAGTTATTTATAGTTTCTCTGTTATTATTATAAAAACTCAGCATTTGATGTCACTATTTTTACTCTTAGTGCAAAAGGGCTAGAGTTACAAAACGTAAATGTTAAAGAGTAGACTCTGCGACTGGATTGGGGCATTTCTGCGTCATGAGATAAAACAGCAGATCACGTCTCCCTTTCACACCATTTACAGAAGCACTGCAAAATAACTTGTGCTTTAGGAATATTTGACAGGAATCAGCCCAAAAATGTTCTTCCTTTCCTGTTTCTCATTAAAGTTCTGACAGATAAACTCATGCACACACAAACTCACCCCAGCAGCAGCTCAGGAGAGCGGTACCACCTTGTAGCAACGTACTCCGTGTAGTTGGCATCTGTTCCTTCAGACAGGTTACGAGCAAAACCTGAGCCAGAGGAACATGGAAATCAATATATCAACCAGATTTAATTTTACCGGCAGCAACGAATAAACGACCAACTGATAAGATGGCAGAACATTACACTCAAACGATTTGGATAGCTGCAGTGACAACATGGCAATCTCAGCTGTGTGGCCAGACTAATTAGTTATGTCACTGCGGGCAGTCTGAGACTCGGCTTTAGATAACTGGAGCACAGAAAGTCCATTTTAAGCAAGAAAAAGTCACAATAAAGAGAATGCCAGCTCCAACAGTGAATAAGAAACAAATCTCACCCTAGCTGACTCAGTGGGATGCCATTAGCCAATTATTCAGCGTTAACTGACCGTGTGATTTTTGCAAACAGTCATCCAAATGTAAAAAGTACACACCTAGAACACTGTAAAGGGCAAAAGTGAGCCCTTTACATAGTCTTCAGATGTGTTTCATGGACAAATAATGTGCTTTCATGGTATAAAGATCTATCAGATTAATAGCAACAACAAGCATCAGGGTGTTTCATGAAAGGATTGTCAGGGGCAGAATTAATCCCTATGACACACAATGTACTAGGTGGCAAATGAAAGGCGTTTTTTCACAATAAAATAACCTCAAGAAATCATGTTAAGACAAGAAATCCAATGAATAGCAGTGGCGCCCCCAGGAAATTTTATAGGGGTGGTCAGAAAGGGCTACAGAAAATTTTGGGGGTGGCAAACCTAATAGGTCCGTGTGGAAACTCTGGGAGAGTTTTGCTATATGCATCCAACACGCTTGCCTCAATTTTTCTCATTAACATCCACAAAAACTATAGACACTTACTTTTATTTTCAAAATGGGGAGCAGCATGGACATATATACTTTTTAAAATTTGAATATTTATTTACTCTTTAATAGTAGATTTTTACTGGACTTTATGTCTGATTAAATAATATGAATTTATAAAATGTGTGAACATCAATATGATTCATTAAACAACATTAGGCGCGTTTCCACTACAAGAACTTCAGGGTAGATTTACAGGAACATGCGCGTGTCTCCACCCGATCGGGCCATCCGAACGGCCGTTTTTCGGGCCGTTTTCAGGAACCTTCTGGTACCTGCTCTGGAGTAGGTACTCCGAACGGCCCGGTGGAGTAGCTGAGTGGAACCTCCAGTTAACTCACGCTGATTGGTTGTAACTCAGTAGGAAATGACATCAGCGGACATCCAAAAAAACTCGCAGTAGTAAAATTAGAAGAGTAGCTGGTGAAGCAGAATGAAAGCAAATAAAAATAAGCACTGATCGCATTTAAAATCTAACCCCCGTCACCGAAAAACTCGGTGGAATTCCCCCACAGCTGTTGGAAAAAAAATGAGGAAATTCCCCCTCAGACTTAATTAACGGGGTTTGTCTCACAAAATTCAGAGCTGCTCTTGTCCACTGAATGAATTAAATTATGATATACTTCTATAAAATAAATGCTTTTAAAATTACTAATGTTACTTTGGGCGCTTTTTGAGGCTGATCAGTGGCTTCACTCACTGCCAAAGCAGTCGTGATATGCTGACGTCTTTGCAAGTTCTGAAAGGTCTGAATTTGAATGGAGACACAACAGCTGAGAGGACTGGGACATCCTATTTCCTGGTCAAGTTCCCCATCCCAGGAACTACCCTCGAGTACTGGTAATGGAAACATGCCTATTGGCCTTGTTTGGTGTGGCCAGTGGGGTGGCCCTGGTCCCCCCTGGCCACCCCTTGGGGCCGCCACTGATGAATGGGTAAACTATTCTTTCCATGAAACATTTCCAATAAAAAAGCAGCTATGATTCATTCAAAGGACATGTAGACTTTCTGCTTCCAACACAGTTTACACAAGACACTTTCAGGTAACGGAAAATAGGGGAAAAAAAGACCATCTGAAAACTCACCAAAGTCGCAGAGTTTGAGAATGTCATTAGAACCGATGAGAAGGTTTTCTGGCTTGATGTCTGGAAATGAGATGATTTGTTACACTCACCTATCAAATAAAATAAATGAAGTCCATGGGGAGGGAGAATGACAGAGCAGCACACAACCTTTGGCCAGAATATTTAAAAAAATAAATAATAGTGACCACTCTGACATTTTTCTGCTATTACAAGTGTAATCAGAAAACGTTCTAACAGTGTTGATAGGTTCCTCTAAAGGTATGCATGAATGAAGCATTTTAAAAATGATTCAAGTACATTTGGATGTGTGTTGTATGAGCCATTCTACAAGATTATCCAGCAGCAACGCCATATGAAACTCAAAGTGAATGCTATGTTAGTTTTAAAAATGTATTTAATGTAAGAAGATAAGCAGTTTGAGTACAATATCTGAATTCACACTTATCCGTCTTATAAGAATAAAACCTGAACAAATGTATTTATGAAGAAAAATTATGCTGGAAATTATCCTTCCATGGGTCTTCTCTGGTTTGGCTAAATGTTCTTTATTTTAAAGATTCCCAACTAAGTGAAATGTTTCTAATGAGTTTTATTTATTCGTTTAATTGGTGAGAGAGCTTTGCACTCTTTAAAATGTTAGGAAAATGACCTTTTATGTGCTGTTTTGGGCTGCTCTCCATTCATGGTCCTGGAAATCTCATTTCCAGCATATTTTAGTCGTTTCCCTGCTCCAACACGCCTATTTTGATTCAGTGGTGATTAACAGGCATGACCTGCTGAACAGGTGATTCAACCATTGAGCAGGTGTGATGGAGCAGGGAAACAACTAAAACATGATGAATATGAGACCTCAGGGTTGGAGAGCACACAAGACTGATTTCTAGAAAGCTTTTTAAAATCTGTACAATGACAAATTATCTTTCATTTGTTTGATGATATGTTTGTAGTTTGATTAATGATCATTGTATGAATCTTTTTGGTTGATCTTTATGAATCACTTTGTGCTTTTTCTTTCTGTGATAAGAGCTAGAGAAAAAAACTTCACTACTTAATTACTTACTAGAAGGTTAGTTTTGAGGTTTTGCCTAACAACGAAGAGATAAAGGCAAACATTCACCTCTGTGTACTATTTCATTCTTGTGACACCAGTTGATGGCCTTGATGAGCTGGAATATATAGCTGCAAACTTTATCTGGTGGTGCACCATTGGGAAACTCCTCCAACAGCTCCAGCATATTCTGCCAAACCACACAAAATGTAAAAGTTTGAGCAGAAAGTCAGCAACGTGTGCTCCATCCGTCCATTAAATTACACATAGACAACTGCTGCTGTAGCTTTCATAAAATAAACATTTGGTTGGATACCCTGGCAACACAGTGGGGAATGCCGTTACTCACAGTTTCCCTGTTGCTATGGTGACTCTTTTTTTCTGTTTAACTGAGGAGTCAACATCCTACAACTTTAAAGTAGACTAGATGCAGCAGCATGCAGAAACCGTGTATGTGAAAGCTGAAGCATCTTCATGCTGACCCTCTCCACGTATTCAAAGACCAGGTAGAGCTTGCCCCTCCTACGAAAAGCCTCCTTCAGCTCTACAATGTTGTCTTGCTTCAGCGTCCGAAGCATCTTCAGCTCCCGAAGAGTCGTCTCCTTGACCTCCTCATTTTCTGTGTGAGTGGAAAGGTTGGAGTGACAGTCAAAGCATCAGAACATTCTGTATATCTTTTTTATTTTTCACTCACCTTCACTGTCCTTGAATTTCTTAATGGCCACCAGCTCATTGGTGTCCTGTGAAGAGACAAAACCAAGAATGTTTGTTGAGCCCCAGAACTAGATCTTACTGAGTAAATCAAAAGCAGACAATCACCCCTGAACATGAATTAAAAAAATAATAAAAAAATAACCAACTCACTAAATAACTCACATATAGTTAAGAATTTGATGAGACAAACCCCCAACATTCGGACACATTTGATTTTTGAAACCAATACTATCACAAACATCCAAAGCTCTCTTCAATTAGATTAAAATGTTTACCATCATCACATTGAGTGCTCAAGTCATTAGCTTTAAAGAGAGAACTGTATTTTCTGTGATCCATAAAACTGTCGGGCTGCGGCGGGTGAAGACGACGAGCCAGAGGGAATTACATCACACAGTTCAGTGTCCTCGGCTGCTCTCTTTTGTCCTTTTGTCTAAAGAAGGTCAGACAACACAGCCAGCTGAAGCACTGCAGGAGACGACGCAGTCAAGAGCTGCATGTCACCGCCACTGCTCTTGTTTACACAAGACAATTGTTTCACAAGGGTGTTAGATACAAAGATGTCCACTCGGAGATCTGCTGGTTCAGATGCAAAACAGATTTGATGATAAGGACTTGCAGCTCTAGTAGAAAAGGACCTGACTGTAAACTTGTGTTAATAAGATAAAAAAGAAAATATTAGAATGTTGCAATGAGTTGATAGGGTTTACTTTTAAGTGTTATGCCTTTGACCTCCAAGGCCTGCCCTTTGGAGCCACTAATAAGTTAAAAAACCTAAAAATGTCCATGAATAGTGAACGTTTTAATCAGAACCACTAAGTAATGTTTGCATTTTTCATAGAGAAAAACAAACCATGACTGTGTTATACTATGGCTTGTTATAGAGAAAAACTAGAGAAAAGCAGGAACCATTGCCTGATGCACAAATTACATTACATGTAAGGCAAGGCAGCTTTATTTATATAGCACATTTCACACACAGAGGCAATTCAATGTGCTTTCCAATTAGTAAAAATAGCAAGAATATTAAAATCAGTGTGACAGTGCAATTAAAATACACACAAATTAAATTTAGATTTAAAAATTAAAAGTTTAGGTTATAGGGTGAGCAGTTACAGTGCAGTAGGTGCAGTATAAGAACAGTGATTTAAAGGCTGATGAAAACATGAAGGTTTTCAATTTTGATTTAAAAGTTACTAGAGTTGGGGCACATTTATTTAATTAACCTTCATTTTTGCAGATGAGTTGATTGTCCTATCCTTATTTCCAAAGACAATAACTTCAGTCTTGTCTTTGTTTAACTGGAGGAAGTTTGACTGCATCCAGTCATCGACTTGCTCCAAACACTGACAGAGTGAGTCTTGTCCACAGTCACTAGGTGATAAAGCTAGGTATATCTGGGTGTCATCTGCATAACTATGACGGGCAATGTTGTTATTTGGTTGATGTAGTTCCATTGCAGAAAGTGTAAAAGCCACAGTCCATTACAGAAAGCAAATTGATTTTAATAACAAGCTTAGATGTAAAAAATGTAAAACTTAAATAAAATTCTTCAGTGAGAGGACCTCATAATCTTGTGAAGCATGTGATTTTTCTCCAGATCCTCCTGTCCTTCAACAGTCCAAAGACATGAACATTAAGTTCATGTGTGCATAATTATTGCCTCATTGTGCTGACACTGATATTATAGTGCATTCTGAACAATGGATGATTGGTTTTGGCTTCTAGTCAAATCTCTTGAAACGACAAAAGAACATCAAAAGAAAAGTTGTAATCTCAAAACTTTATGATACATTATTTTATGACTAACCCTAACTTTTAATTTTATGACTAATACCAGCTGAGTGGCCTTGTGGTATCGGTGTGCGCCCTGAGACTGGGAAATAATGGGTTCAAATCCGTGGTTGGGTCATACCGAAGACTTACAAAGATGGGCCCCTGTGCCTCCCTGCTTGACACTCAGCATTAAGGGGTTGGATTCGGGGTTTAAACCACCAAATGGTGCCCAAACGCAGCTGTGTCTGCAGCTCACCACTCCCCCAGAAGATGGGTCAAATGCAGAGAACAAATGCCACACACCAGTGTGACAACTAGTGGGACTTTCACTTTAACTTAGCTTAGAAAGTAAGAACATGTGTGTTTGGTTGATATTTCTTTTCCTAGACCAAACCCACAACATGACTTTATCCCTTAAGGATTTCAAAGTTTACATCCAAGGCTCTGAATACACTTTCTTTAATCAAATTACCAAAAGACGTTTCAACTAAATATTCAATTATCATAATTAGCAAGTCCTCCGAGGTCTCTGGTGCGGCGAGGTGACTTTGCACCAGGAGACTGGCTCCAGTGTAAGTTGTGGTATTGTCACTCCCAAAACACATATTCAAGATAACACATAAGCCTCCATACACACACCCACATATGCTAATACAACACTAGCACAAAAGTGGCAGAACAAATCCTGGCACACACTTGCCTGACTAATTAAATGTTCTGTCAAACACATATGGAGTTGTAAGGTCTATATACATTTTAAAAAATGAACACATAAAATTAATATCTAAGTGGCACAAGTTCCGGTGTCGTCTTCTTGGACTTTGGCCCAGAGAGTCTAAAATGTTAATAGTCCTATTATTCCCTCCATCACATCCAGGTCTGCTGCAGACTTCTAACAGGGTGACCCATTTACCAAGCGTTCAATAGCTCCCTCTGCATCACTTCCTCTCTGTCAAACACACATACGCACGCACCGGTTGCCTCTCCTCTCTCCCTTCTGCCACCCTTTCTCTTTTGCCCTGCTTCCAGCAGGGAAAAGTAAAAATAACTACTCTCATGTAACAAAGTTAAAAAAGTTTTATCGCCATGGTCTGGAGCTCCGGCTCTACATGCAAATTTCAATCCCTGACATTGCTACACAAATGGGAAAAATGTCACATGTCACTTTCTGGTGATTCAGAGAAAAGACAATTGTCTTTTGATTTAACAATTCTTTTGATTTCAGAGGTTAGGGTGACCTGTGACCCCTCTGCAAAGAAACATGAATCATAACATCTCAGCTTGCCAACACACAGTTCTTGAACATGTGAAAAAATACCATGCAGTCAAAGCAAATCAACTAGAAAACAAGCCCTTCCTTGTAATCAATTTTCCCTCAGTTTGAATACTTTGCTGCTCTTTATAATAAATAAAGCACCAAAAGACATGCAGAGATTTAAAGGTGTGGATCATTTAATCAATACATTTGCGGTGGTCTCTAGTAGGAATGTACGCCTTGTAAGTTGTACTCAGGGGGAAAAAAGCCCTAGAAGACTGGCACATCAGAGTTGAGCTTAACACGACAAAATCTGGAGTTTTATTTTCTAAAATTTGGACACCTCGCCTCTGACTGGATAACAGCAACGTGACTCTACCACTGATTCTGTTCGCTCTGCAGTGTTGATGTTTTATCTCCACAAATAACACAAGCCTGAAGGAGTTCTGCTGTGTGGAGTTGCTAATGCTAACGGTAAGCTCCACTAGTCGAGATGTTCTCTGCTGTTTCCTCTGTTGACGCTAAACCAACAACAGCCTTCCCTGTCGTGAGTTAAGATGGGCGAGTCCATGAACGCTGAGAGACAGTGTGATGTAGATCGATCAGGCTTGTCACATCCTACATTTTCTTCTATTTTCTATCAGAAGCTAATGCAGGAGAATTGTTCAGCCTGCATTAAACACTCAGCGACTGATTATCCATCCATCCATTTATGATAGTTTCCAGTCAGGTTTTCGTAGAGCTCATTCTACTGAAACAGCTCTTCTTAGGGTCTCTAATGACCTTCTGAATCACAGTGATGCAGGGGACTGTTCTGTTCTGGTCCTGCTGGACCTGACTTCAGCCTTTGACACTGTTGACCATCACCTGCTACTGGAGAGGCTGAGAGACTGGGTAGGCCTATCAGGATCTGTTTTGGAGTGGTTTTCCTCTTATCTGTCTGAGTGTTCCTTCCCTTTGGCTGTCTCTGAGTTTTGGTCCTCCACCAAGTCCCTCACCCACGGTGTCCCACAAGGTTCTGGGCTGGGGCCTCCACTCTTCCTCCTCTATCTGCTTCCTCTTCAGCACATCCTGAGCTCCTTTAAAGGAATCTCCTACCATCTTTATGCAGATGACATCCAACTGTACATCTCCTTTAAGCCCCATGAGATGTCTAAGCTGCAGCTGTTACACACCTGCTTAGACTCTATCAAAATCTGGATGGCTGAGAGCTTTCTACAGCTGAATGAAGATAAGACTGAGATCCTCATCTGTGCCCCAGACAAGCTGGTTCCCAAAGTCAGAGACTCTCTTGGTCTGCTTGCTTCTCACAACAAACCTTCAGTCAGGAATCTTGGCGTGACCTTTGACCCAGCTCTCACCCTGGATTCTCATGTCAGTTCTCTTGTTCACTCTTCCTTCTTCCATCTCAGGAACATTGCTGAGTCCCATTCTGTCCTGCTCTGGACTTGAGACAGTTCTCCACACCTTCATCTCCTCACGCTTAGATTACTGTAACTCTCTTTTTACGTGTCTGAGCAGAACCTCCCTGAACTGTCTGCAGGTGGTTCAGAATGCCTGTGCTCGGCTTCTGACCAAGTCCTCCAAACACACCCAGATCATCCCACTTCTCCTCCAGCTTCATTCGCTGCCAGTTAACTTCAGGGTTCATTTCAAGATCCTGGTTCTGGTCTATAGGGCCTTACATGGACAAGCACCATCTTACATTGGGGATCTTCTCAGTCCCTCCACCCCCAGCAGGTCCCTGAGGTCCAGTGACCAAAGCCTACTGGTTGTGCAGCACCAGGCTAAAGACCAAAGGTGACAGATCATTTGCTGCTGTGGCCCCCAGACTCTGGAACTCTCTCCCCCTGAGCCTGAGATCAGTGGACTCTGGTCTTCTTTAAAAAGCAGCTGAAGACTCACTTGTTCAAGCTGGCTTTGGCGTGACCTTCCTTATTCTGCTCTTTCTACTTATTCCGTCTTTTCCGAGATCCATTGATTTCCCTCTTTCCT